TGTGTGAAGACGATGTGGTTTAAAGGCTGGCCTTGTGGTTTCAGGTCATGGGCACAAAGAGATCAGGACACATGTTTAAGTTGTAAAACAAAGAAAAATAAAATTTAACTCAGCGCTGGAGTGTGGTAACATTAGATTTGGATATTTTAATGTCTACGGTGTGTGAAGAAGATGTCTTCTTTAAAGGGATAGATCTTCTAAAAGGAAAAAAAAAACAGATAGTAAAGAGTCACAGAAGTCTGAACTTAACAGCAAATTAAACCAGAGGGAAACATAAAACTATAATGTCTAATTTACTTCTGATCTGTATCACTGTATTTCCCCTCAGCAAAATAATTTTGTACCTTAAATGATGGCAGAGCACTCCATCTGGTGATGGAGCTGGGCGGGAATAAGAGGTTTGAGCATGGGATGCCTGCGTGGCTCAGTCATTAAGCGTCTGCCTTCAGCTCGGGTCATGATCCCAGGGTCCTGGGATCAAGCCCGCATGGAGCCCTGCTCAGCGGGAAGCCTGCTTCTCCCTCTCCCACTCCCCCTGCTTGTGTTCCCTCTCTCGCTGTGTCTCTCTCTTCAAATAAAAAAAAAAAAGAAAGAGGTTTGAGCATATCAGTAAAGATTTAGAAGTATTAGGGGAAAGTGGGGAGGGGTTGCTAAGAGAAGGTAGTAAAATAATTATCAGGTGGTATTAAGGTCAAAACAGGAGACTTGAATTTTATGGGCCCCAATCAACTAAGGATTAAGCTACGGGAAAGCAGTATATGAATTTCCTAGGGCTGCTGAAACAAAGTACCACAACCCAGGCTTAAAACAACAGAACATTATCCTCTCACAGCTCTGTGCTAGAAGACCAAAATTAATGATCTCAGCAAGACCACAGTCCCCCTAAAGGCTCTAGGGGAGAATCCATCCTTGCTTCTTTTGGCTTCTGGTGTCCTTGGTTTGTGGCTGCGTCACGCCAGTCTCTGCCCCCACCTTCGCCTGGTTCTGAGCGTTCAAGTCTCCCTCTCCTTTCTCTGGTAAAGACAGCAGTCATTGAATTTAGGACACACCCTAAATCCAGGATGATTTCATCTTGAGGCTCTTAGCTAGTTAAACCTGCAAAGTCTCTGCTTTCAAATAGGGTCACATTCTGAGGTTCTGAGGGGCCCGTTTTCAACTCATTACAGATTGGTACTTTGTTTCCTTCACTCCTCTATCCCTAGAACCTAAAATAGGCTCCACAAGTACTTATGAAATAAGTTCATCAGTGAATCCAAGAAGTACAAAGATTCAAGGATGCTGAGGAATGTATTTACACTGAGGTGTCAAGGTTGGGGGGGGTGGAGCAGCACCATAGTCCCTTACCAGATGAATCACCAGATGTAAATTTCAAAGTGAATATTCTCAGGAGCCATTACACAACTCTTGGACCTAGCATCTGAGTGGAAGACAAAAAAGGATTAGAAGACTGACGACTCAAGGCCAGACACTATGTGGAAAATCTAGAAAATCTTCCAGAGAAAGATTCCACTCACTTCAAGTCTAGTGAATGGAACTTCTTAAGATCCCTCCAAGGGCTTAAAAAGGTCACACAGACTCATACCTAAGCAGGGGATAGATAGCAGCTCTATGCCAGGGAAGTAACTGTGTTCCCTCTAATGGTACACGAATCCTGGGGTATAGACGCGACCATGGGAAACCAGTCTGGGTTGTTTTTTTTAAAGTATCCTGCCCAAAAGAGCAGCATGTGGGGAAGAGAGAAACCTGGTCCTTTGAGGCAAGAAGAGGTAGACTCTGTAAATGATCAGGAGGGTCACTGTTCACATCAAAAGAATGGCCACCAGATAGGCCTGGGGGAGGGGGAGGACTTCCAGAGAACTCTGGACCAGCCCACAAAGAGGTCAGCTTTAAAACCTGCCCTGCCTGTAGAGAGCACGATGCCATCTTTTGGTAAAAATGTTCCATTCATTCTTACTTGGCCTCACTGCCCCCAGGCAAGTCAGAAATGGCAGCCACAGAATAAGAAAGGAGGTGGGAAGGGATTGGGGGAGCTGACTGGGATCTCCAGCCACACCAAGAATTCTTCGTTGCTTCCAGGCTCAACAAGAGAGGAATCAAGTCTTTTCTTGAATGAAGATTGCAGCAGTAATTAGTGTATAGGGTCTGATATTGCAAATTATTGAATTGAAACTAGTATATGGAGTGGACATTTTCAATTACTGAATTGATGCTGGAGAGAACATTAGGACTGAGAGACCAGGAGAGTCATGGAACCCACCCAGGTTTTTAAGAGGCCAGAGAAGGACTAGCACCACTCAGCAGGTTTGCAGGGGCAAAAATAAAGTGGCTTCTATGATTACACCCCATGAATGCCATGTGTTCCAAGTACTAGTCATAGTGGTTTCAGATGATGAGTTACATAATCTGGGCTAGATAGAGAAGGGAGAAGAGCTGGCAAGGGTCTGATGGGAGACTAGAATTGTAGTGGGTATAAAGCCTCCAGGACGTTAGGGTCAGAGAGTGTATTATTGGTATTTCTGACACAAAACAGTTCTGGATGAGAACACAGTCAGAGTGTGAGCCTGGTTTGAGGCAACTGACATGCTTTGGAGCTCCAGAGCTAAGGAAAGGGATTAAAGAAGCTGAAGGCTAAATTGTTATACAGGTACAGAAGTCTTCCGGGATTCTGTCATGGCTTGGGTTGAATAGGAAGATGACAATCCAGATCCCATTCCCTACCCCTCTATGGAAACTGTTCCTACCAAGATCACCAGGAAACTCCAAAGTGTCACTTCCAACAGAGGCAATGCTCATTTCTCAGCTTCCTTGTCAGTAGCATTTGACATAATTGAGCAATTCCTCATTCCTGAAACTCTTCTGCTTCAAGGGTTCCACCCTTTGATTTTACTCCTTTCCTGGCCACCCCTTTTCATATTCTTGTGTTGGATCCTTCTCTTATCCTTAACCATTAAATGCTAGAGGATCTAGAGCTCAATCATAAGAACTTCTCTGTTTGCTGTCTCACTTTCTAAGAGATCTTACCCTTATGACTTTAAATACCTCTATATGGCCCCCAATATATATGTCTACCACCAACATCTCCCCCAAACTCCAGACTGTTTACTTGATATCTCTGCTCAGACATCTGTTTAACAGAGCTTTCAAATTTAACGTCCAGAAGCAAATGCCATCCAATAAACTGATCTCCAACTAAACTTCTTCCATTCTAGTAGATGGCACCATGATTGCCCAGTTATTTAGGCAAAATATTTTGCAATCAACTTCTTCACCTCTTTACTTAATCCCTCTTGCAAATCTTGTCAATTCAGTCTTCACTATGTAGCAGCAAGCTCGCCCTGTCTCCCCTTCCCCATCACCTACCTTGGCACACACCATCATCACTATCTCTACACTTAATTCTTTGTAATCTCTTCCCCACATAGCCAGAATGATCCACTTAAACATAGATCAGATCGTTACTTCTCTGCTCATTGAAGTCACCCCATGGCTCCCACCCTTCCCAGATTAAATTCCAAATCCTTGATATGAATTGCAAGTCTATGAGTCTGGCCCGGTCCCAGAGCTTTTCTAAGACTTTGCAAGGTTATCTTAAACAGAGCTGTCTCACTGAGCTAGGGTTATTTTTTTTTTTAAAGAATTATCACATTATCTCATAGAGTGGTCTCTGAAGGCATGTTTTTGGAAGATATGTTTCATCACTGAAGCTGTTAGTAAAATGAAAAATCTACCAGGTAGGTTCTTTCTGGATTTTAATGCTTTATGTTCTCCTTTTCTCTCAATGCTAAAATCAAACATCCTCTCTTCTGTGAAGGCTTCTGTCTACTGGCTTCCTAATTCAGCTTCATTCTCAATACCCTACAGGGAAAAAAAGGAAAGAAAAATGAGAAAGCTCTCTGTTTTGTTTCCTTAGCTGTGTTTATACATAGTGATTGAATGGAAATCTGTGAAACTCATGTCTGTCTTGTATCACTACTGTGGAAGGGACAAGTCTATTAACTTAAAAATATGCATATAGGGGCACCTGGGTGGCTCAGTGGGTTAAGCCTCTGCCTTCTGCTCAGGTCATGATCTCAGGGTCCTGGAATCGGCTCTCTGCTCATCGGGCTCTCTGCTCAGCAGGGAGCCTGCTTCCCCCTCTCTCTGCCTGCCTCTCTGCCTACTTGTGATCTCTCTCTCTCTGTGTGTCAAATAAATAAATAAAATCTTTTTAAAAAATGTATACTGTATTTAATCACTTCTAAAACCTACTTTTTTTTTTTCATATTTAAAGACCAAAATTGGGATGAGTCTTGAAATGATGTAATTAGAAAGCATAATTTATCAGCATTTTTTCTTTCTTGGTGGTACATAGTGTTAAACTTCTCCTTGAAATTAACACTATCTTACAGTTGATTAAATACAGAGTGTAAATCTTGTGGGTTTATGTTCCTCAATACTGAGCCGCACAAGTTTAGACTCTCATTCCATAGTGCAGTTAATTGTTTCTACTACAATAAATTTAAATGCAAACTGAGTTAGGAATGGGCATAACGTCCTCACTTCCAAATTGCGCATTTTATCATCTGTATGAAAATCCTCCAGAAACTGCAAAGCATGATCCGCAGCCCGAGTATTTCTTCACACTCTTGGTTACTAGGGATAAACCTTCCCGCGCGCCGCTGACCTCTCCAAGGGCGCAAGAGTCGGATCTAGGTCCGACAGCCCCCGCCGCACAGGTGAGCGCGCCCCGCCCGCCAGCCCAAGCCCGTCCCCCCGCACTTTCCAGGTACGAGACGCGAACTCTGATTGGCCACGGGACGCAAGGAGCGCGCCCCTCAAAGCACCTTCCGAGCATGCGCGATAGGGGAGGCGCAGGCGCAACGCGGCCCGCGCATGCTCAGTACGCTGCGGTCGTACTTTTCTTAAGCGCCCGCGCCGGGTCGCGTCCGTGCCGGCTAACCAGCCACTGACCGGCATGAGGGCCTGGGGTGTTAGGGCAACCTTCTGCTCGCTCCAGCGCCATGGAATGCCTGCGGAGCCTGAGCCGGCTGCTGCCCAGCGTCGTGGGGCTGCCCCGGCGCACACTGTGTACTCTGGCCCAGAGTCTGACCCCTGGGGCGCGCCCCGTTGTCGTCTGCGGCCGCGCGACCCAACTCCTCAGGCAGAGCCGGGCCGCGCCCCTGTGCGCACCCCTTCGGCCCCGCGTGGCAGGTACTGCGCTCCCCGCCCCGCAGCCTAGTACGCAGGTCTTGCGGTGTCCCCAGGGCCCTGACCTGACCGCCCGACCCCACCCGGCGTGGCCGTGGCTACCCCGCGCAGGCCTCGGACCCGGGTCTGCCCTTGGGGCGCCCGTCCGGGAGTGCTGGTGGCCCCCAGTGCGGACCCGCCGGTGCGTCGTGACCCCCTGGGGCCCTCACGCCCTAGCTGCAGATCTCCCCGCTGCAGATCTCCCCGCTGGAGTGCTCTTACGGGAAGAGTTTTGTTCTTTTTTTTTTTTTTTTTTTTTTTAACGACAGGTTAACCTTTATCTAAGTGTTTTTCTTCCCAGTTTTTTCCCCTTTGCGCGTTGATGCGTTTTTCCAGTTCATTTAAGGAATGGGGAAGCACCTGTAGATGAGGCTGAAAACTTTAAAGATTTCATAGTAACAGTTGCTCCTGAGAAAAATCTGTTTTCAAGTACGGCGTGACAAGCTGCAGGGGTCAGAGTAGTGGGGAGGAGGAGGAATCGGAGTGAGTGAGTTATTTATTTATTTATTATTTATTTTTTCGCCAAATGATGAAGCATGATGATATGTTAACATTTTCACAAATGTCAGAATGTAGGTGCTAATGTTGCTCAGAAACCGGCGACATTAAAATGTACGGCTCTCGAAAGGATTGCGCTGTTCTCAAGTTTTCTCAGTTTTATGCTCAAAAGTCTTCTCAAGTAACCGCACCACCTTCCCCACACTCACTAAAGAGACTGAACTGGGGTACTCCCCATATTCCCTACTTTAGTAACTCTTGGGAACCCAGTTTCAGCCCATCTGCTGTTTTAAGACAAGCACTGAGATTCAGAATCCCGAAACATTGTATCTAACTTGTGGCTGATTAGCAAATGAATCTCAATGGAAACATTTTATCTAACGTGGGGAAACACTTTATCTAACTTGAGAAACAACAAACCTCAGATGAGACACTATATGTAATGGGAAGGAATAAGATCAGAAATGAGAATATATCTGCACATTCCATAGAGTCCGCATGATTACTTTGGAAGCAGAAAATAATTGGTAATATTTTTACACTTTCTGTCCATTGCTTTTATGTTCAGTATTTTGAATGTTGTCCCTTGTCAGTCATTAAATTTATGTGATTACACTTCAGAACTCACTTCAACTCAGTCTAATCACACTTTAAATTTTGATTTTCAAATAAGGATTTTTCTTCATTCCAGTTCATGGGGGTCTGCACTCCAGTTCAATGGCTTATTTCATAAGTAGTCACTATGTAATGTGGAAAAGCTAATATGGAAGTAAAATCTAGGTTTCATAACTTATAGGTCAAATAATCCTAATATTGGAATGCTGAAACTGGTGGTATTTTAAGATCCGTGTTTTCTAAAATACATGTACCAGTATAATTTTCATGAAGAGCCTTTTTAAATTATGCAAAAAAGATGAACATTTTAATCTCAAAACACTGTTACGCATTTGTTCATTTGACTTTGAGATACCAGTAATACTTAGAATAAAAGTGTTTGGAATCCATAAATTGTTCTAGTACCTCGTCTAAGCCATTCCCTGCCAAATCTAACCTAATCCCCAACAGATGTTAACATTAGCAAGTAAGAGTGTTTCTTTTTCCTCTAGGAAAAAGTTTCCAAAAAATTAAAGTAGTCTGAAGACCATATAATAGGACAGTTATATTGTAGCCATATGTTAATATCTATTGTATGATTACAGAGAATTCTCTAATTTATTCTTCAGGTGAAATGCACCGGTTTAGAACTTCCGATGTCTCTCAAGCCACTTTGGCCAGTGTAGCCCCAGTGTTTACTGTGGTGAGTATGTATGGTAGTACATTTGATAACTTACACAAAGTATTTCCCATACTTACTGAGTTAACTGGGTTGGACTGGTCCACCAAGATAATACTTATTTTTTGTTTTATAGTGAGTCATTATACTTGTAAGTCCTTTCTTCTTTGTGTTTTGCCTAGCTAATGACCTGGATGTCTGCTAGATTCACTTAACAGCATCCTTGAAACTTTGCTGTTGACTGACTGTGGAGGTTTTCTTTAATCCTAGAACTGTTTGTTCAAATCACAGCTCAGCACTTCCCACTCAAGATTTCCTTGTGAATTTATGTAAAGTCCTTGAAGGCTATTAGCCATAGGTGCTTGACCCTGTGCTATGCAACGTAATATATGCAGAAGTATTTTGAAGGCAGTGAAGTGTAATTTTTAAGAGTGGATGCTTTGAAGTTTCATGATCTCTGCAACGGTCTCTGAAAAGTATCAGGAGAAAATAAAATAAGACATAAGAAATAATGTGTACCACAACCACATATTCTCGAAAGAAAAAAATTAGGCCATTGGGGCAAAATATTAGCAATATTAACAAAAATATTAGCAAAATATTAGCATTCTAGATGAAAGTCACAGGGGAATTGGCTGTAAGATATTCTTGCAACTTTTTTGTCAGGCTTTACTTTTTTCAAAAAAAAAAAAAAGTTGAATTAAAAAAAGTAATGTGCTTGTTATGAACTAGCATCCCTAAATTCAGATCTCAGCTGTGCCTCTTACTATTAACTTGGTGGACCTGAACAGGGTATGGTAACATTTTTATGCCTTTGTTTTCTTATCTGTAAACTGGGGGTGATAGTGCCTACCTTATCAAATTGTTGTGAGCTGTGAACTAACTCACACTGTATGTAAAATCCTCACCCTTGTAAGCATTCAATATATATATTAGCCATCATCATCGTCATTATATAGGCTTATTTACATAAGTTTATTTTCTTTATAAACTATACAAAAAACATAACCTCCAGAATTACATGTGAAAGTTATCACTGTTATCCAATGTTCTAGAACATTTGGCCAGTTTGGTTAAGAATAGATTCAAATATTAAATATTGAAAGAAGATTCTTTGCAGGTGAAGTCATTGTATACCAAGAACACCTAAGAAAATTAGTTGATACTATTTGCTGTGAATTGTGTAAGACTGATGAATCAGACCTGTACCCCAGAAACAAGTAATATGTTAATTTTAAAAAAAGAAAGAAAATTAGTTGATACTGTTTGAAATGAGAGCTTGCTAATCAGCTCATTCTACATGATGTTACTTTACAAGATAGACATTAAAAAAAAATCAGTTTGTATGATTTTTTTATCAGAAAATATTTCATTAAAGAAAAATGGTGAAGATAAATACTGAGATGCAAAAATACTCAAGTTGAAAATGGAAGAGAGAGTGCAGAAAAGTATAACATGAATATATATGAGTAGGAAAAGTCTGGGAGGACATTCAGTAAAATACTGGTATCGTTTTCTCTAAAATTTATCTTATTTCATGTGATATATTTTTAAAATTTTCTACAGCAGATACATTATTTGTGAAATAAATTTGAGGAAAGTTAGTCTATTACACAAAATAAAGTTTCTTTTGATATAATTTGCCTTTAACACTGATGGCTTATGGTACTCATACTAACCTTTGCTCATGAAAAACAAGCTACAATATGCACTGTGGGGTTTTATTCTGTTGCTGTTAACAGAGCACGCATACATTCCCTTGGTAGTGACCCAGCACGTGTAACTTCAGCTATACCTTAGAGTCTTTCCGAACATGCATATTTAGTAGTAATTAATAATTCAGTAGTAATTTAGTAGTACATTCCAGCACATATTCAAACTTGACAAGTATTCAATACTTGTGGACAAGTATTTCAGAAAAATGTTTCCTCTGCTTTATAGGAAATAAATATATTTTCTGCTTCATGTCCTCTCTTCAAAAAGCCAGAAGAGGGGGCGCCTGGGTGGCTCAGTGGGTTAAGGCCTCTGCCTTCGGCTCAGGTCATGATCCCAAGGTTCTGGGATCGAGCCCCGCATCGAGCTCTCTGCTCAGCGGGGAGCCTGCTTCCCTATCTCTCTCTCTCTGCCTGCCTCTGCCTATTTGTGATCTCTGTCTGTCAAACAAACAAACAAACAAATAAATAAATAAAAAGCCAGAAGAGGCCTTTTCTGTAAATCTTTGTTGATTCTGCAACACTTACCAGAGAGACTTCTTAGCCTCCAGTACTTAGAGTCACAGGATAAGCCACATCTGGTCTCACTCTGTTCAGAAGGCTAACGGATAGGAAATGCAAAGGACAGCATCAGGTGTTTCCCCTTCCAGAGAAGTCCTTGCAGCCATCCAGGGGTTTCTCTGGACCTTGCTTGACAGTTCAGGTGCAAGGAGATGATGTTCTTAAAGGTGGGTATGAGTTCCACCTTAGCTTAGAATCCCTATGCCTTTTAGTGCTGATATCTCTTGTAATCATCTCCAAGGCCAATGCAGGGTTCCTGCAAGAAACATGGCCAGTTGTAAAAGCCACCCCACTGAGGGAGAAGCAGGGGGATGGCTTCCTATCTGTAATTCTTTCATAGTCTTCCTTGTTCCATGAAATCTACCAGGCATTGGGCATTTTTACCATGAGCAATGTTGCCTAGTAACACAACTGATACTCCTTTATCAGACTTCCGGGGGAACCAAGACAAAGTTAATCAAAGGTCACATTTGTCCTAGCAGAAGAAAAAGGGGTTCTTTTAACCTTTAACTCATAACCGAATTTAACCTAAAGAAGCAGTTAAGGCTTACCTGTGCACTTCCGCGTTTGGGAGCTCTCATAATACCATATGGTGTAATACTATAAAGAGCATACTCATTTGGGAGAAAATAATATTTTGCTTTTATTTTCTCTCTTCAGACAAAATTTGACAAAGAAGGAAATGTTACTTCTTTTGGTGAGTATCTTTCGTTGTCTTATAATTCACTTTTTAAAAATCCGTGAATGAGTGAATCTCATGGAAATCAAGAAATTGCAGTGTTTTGAGTAGAATATTCTCTGTGTGTAGGGGTGTATTGAAAGAGATCTATCCTCTGCGTTTGTCCACTAGTCCTAATTGGAACTGGCAACACCTGGACTGTGCGTGTTCTCCCAGAATTGGTTTCTGGTTTTTAACAGGAGCCACTTTGTCTCTAACAGAAAGTTACAGGAACTTTTTTAGTCTCCCTTTCTACACCCTAGTCCTCATGTACAGCTCCTGTTCCACATTTGAGGCAGATTTATGTAATACTGCTGATGTTGCGATGGCAATGAGGGACAAGCCTGGAGGGACAGGGCACTACATGGCACTCTGCTGATGATGGCGCCTACGGACAGTGACTTTGTAAAAGGAAACTAAGCATCACTTTACTCTCTGACCTCAGATGCAGGCTTCATTCAGATTTCCCATGTGCTTCCAGCCCCATGATCCTGTTCCTGCTGCTGCTGAGATCCTGGTGGGAAATTTGGGGTATTTTTGGCTCATTATCTCCTTCAAATGACTGTTCTACTTAGTGCTCTGTCGCAGGTGTGATTGGACACTACAACTATACATGCTACTTTAATCACTTCTTGAGTTTCTTCATCCATTGTGCTTTCTCTTGGGTAATAAGGTTAGTTTTCAGGTGGGAGAATCTAGTGAGAAAACCAACTGTCTTCTCATTTTATATTAGTCCAAGAACCAAGAAAACTGAATTCTCTGTTCACAGATTTAAAATACTGAATATAGAAAACATTGGAACGTAAAACAATGGAACGTAAAATAATCCGTATTTTTAAAAAATGACCTGTCTCTAGAGCTAGAAATTGATATTGTAAGTCTTAATTGTGTGTGGCTGTGCTTTTTATACTGGTCCCAAGAGACATCTAAATGCAAAGAAATTTTATGAAGTATGAATAAGATGAAAAAAGAATTAGGGTTTGACCAAATTTTTATGTTTTTGAGGTAAAAATGGCTATTAAAAAGACTCCTTTTGGCTTGTTTCTGGTAGTAGAAAATGATGATGGGAGGGGTGCTCTGATACTAAAGTCTTCCATTAATTGGTTTGGCCCACTTGTTTTGTTAAAAATATTTCTTTTATAGAAAAGAAGAAAACTGACTTATATCAAGAATTAGGTCTTCAAGCCAGAGATTTGAGGTTTCAGCATGTGATGAGCATCACAACCAGAAACAATAGGATTATCATGAGAATGGAGGTAAAGGGCTTTATGTCACCTACGTTTCTCACTGGAGTCTTTAAAATGTTACTTTTTAGCCCTCTTGAGCAATATCTAGGTTAAAAGCAATTCTGTAATGAAATGGCTGTGTGAAACATAGGATACTTTATATTATAATGTGTCATTGTAGTGTAACTCTTTCGTGGATTCTATATGTGAAAGGCATAACTCTGCTCTGTTTTATGTAGGAAAAGTTATGAGTGCAGTCTCTGTTCTTTCTCACTGCTTGAATTTGGGCTCTAGTTTCTGAAATAAGAGAAAGAATCATGATTTATAATAGACATGTTCAGTTGTATGCAGTTACATGTCATCATAGTATAAGTTCAGCTACCAAGAACATTCTGGTTCTCCAAATAGATCAGGAATATCTCCTGAAGTTTATCATTTTAACTTAAATTTTTATTTTAACTGAAAGCTTCTTAAAATAAATTGTATCTTCCCCTGCCTACTGAGAGTAGACTAAATATAATTTGACTTTATGTAGTGATTGAGAATAAATTTGAACCTATGTAATTTTAGTGAGCTAAAGTCTAGGGTTCAGAAATAGTTGAGACATGGTTCTTGATGGTGTGGGTCCTGCAGTAAACATCAGACCTCCTTTCTTCCTTTTTTTTTTTTTAAGATTTAAGATTTTATTTATTTGAGAGAAACAGAGACTGCAAGCATGAGTGGGAGGAGAGGCAGAGGAAGAAGCATACTCCCCGCTCAACAGAGAGCCCAACACGGGGCTTGATTCCAGGACCCTGAGAATGTGGCCTGAACCAAAGGCAGATGCTTAAGCAACTGAGCCATCCAGGCACACCTGAAATCAGTTGCATTTCTATACACTAACAATGAAGCAGCAGAAGGAAAAATTAAGAAAACTCCCATTTATAACTGTACCAAAAATAATAAAATACTTAGAAATAAACTTAACCAAGGATGTGAAAGATGTGTACTCTGAAACTATAAAACACTGATGAAAAATTCAAGATGACTCAAAGAAATGGAAAGATACTATGTGTTAGGGATTGGGAGGATAAGTATCGTTAAAATGTCTATACCATCCAAAGCAGTCTTCAGATTGAATGTAGTCCCTATCAAAATACCAACAGCGTTTTTATTATATTTTTAAATTTTATTTATCCATTTGAGAGAGAGAGCATGAGCAGGATGAGGGGCAGAGAGGGAAGCAGATTCCCTCCCTGAGCAGGGAGCCCGACACAGGACTCGGTCCTGGGACTACAGGATCATGACCTGAGCTGAAGGCAGACGCTTAACTCAGCCACCCAGGTGCCCCTAAGTTTTATTTTAATCACCAATGCTCCTCATAACAAGTGTACTTCTTAATCTCCATGATCTTTTTCCCCCATCCCCCCACCTACCTCCCCTCTGGTAACTATTAGTTTGCTCTCTATAGTTAAGAGTCCGCTTCTTGGTTTGTCTCCTTTTTTCCCCCTTTGCTCCTTTGCTTTCTTTCCTAAATTCCATTTATGAGTGAAATCATCTGGTATTTGTCCTTCTGACTTCACGTAGCATTGTACTTCTAGCTCCATCCATATCTTTGCAAATGGCAAGATTTCATTCTTTTTCTTATGTCTGAATAATATTCCATGATACACATATACTACATCTTCTTTATCCATTCATCAACCAATGGATATTTGGGCCACTTCCATATCTTGGCTATGTAAATAATGCTGCTATAATTTATGGGAGTACATCTATCTCTTTGAATCTGTATTTTGTATTCTCTGGGTAAATACCCAACAGTGCAATTGCTGGATCATAGGGTAGCTCTATTTTTACCTTTTTTTTTTTTTTTAAGATTTTATTTATTCATTTGACAGAGATCACAAGTAGGCAGAGAAGCAGGCAGAGAGAGGGGGGGAAGCAGGCTCCCCACTGAGCAGAGAGCCCAATGTGGGGCTCGATCCCAGGACCCTGAGATCATGACCTGAGCCGAAGGCAGAGGCTTTAACCCACTGAGCCACCCAGGCGACCCTATTTTTACCTTTTTTGAGGGACCACCACACTGTTTTCCACAGTGGCTGCGCTAGTTTGCATTCCTACCAACAGTGCACGAGGGTTCCTTTTGCGCCATATCATTGGCAACACCTGTTGGGGTTTTTTTTGTTGATTTTAGCCATTCTGTGAGGTGTGAGGTGGTATCTCATCATAGTTTGGTTCGCATTTTCCTGATAATAAGTGATAATGAGCATCTTTCCATGTGTCTTTGTTGGCCATCTGGATATGTTCTTTGGAGAAATGTCTATTCATGTCTTCCACCCATTTTTAATTGGATTATTTGAGTTTGGGGTGTTATAGCAGTTCTTAATATGTTTGGATACTGTCTCTTCATCGGATATATCATTTGCAATATCTTCTTCCATTCTGTAGGTTACCTTTTAGTTTCGCTGAGTATTTCCTTTGCTGTGCAGAAGCTTTATTTTTATGTAGTCCCAGTAGTTTATTTTTGCTTTTGTTTCCTCACCTCGGGAGACATGTCTAGAAAGATGTTACTACAGCCAGTGTCAGAGAAATTACTGCCTGTGTTCTCTTCTAGGATTTTTGTGGTTTCAGGTCTCATATTTAGGTCTTTAATCTATTTTTAATTTATTTCTGCATATGGTGTAAGAAAGTGGTCCATTTCATTTTTTCAGATGAGGCTATCAGTTGTCCCAAACCATTTATTGAAGAGACGGTCTTTTTTCCATTGAATATTCTTTCCTGCTTTGTCGAAGATTAGTTGACCAGATACTTGTGGGTCCAGTTCTGGATTCTCTATTCCTTTCCATCGATCAGTGTGTCTGTTTTTTGTGCCAGTGCCATATTGTCTTGATGACTACAGCTTTGTAATAGAGCTTGAAGTCTGGAATTGTGATGCCCCCAGCTTTGTTTTTCTTTTTCCAGATTGTTTTGGCTATTCAGGGTCTTTGTGATTCCATACAAATTTTAAGATTGTTTGTTCCAGTCCTGGGAAAAATGCAGTTGGTATTTTGATAGGGATTGCATTAAATCTGAGATTGCTTTGGGTAATATAGAGATTTTAACAGTATTTGTTCTTCCCAACCCATGAGCGTGGAATGCCTTAACATTTCTTCGTGTCTTCTTCAGTTTCTTTCATAAAGGTTCTGTAGTTTTCAGAGTACAGGTATTTTACTTCTTTGGTTAGGTTTATTCCTAGGTATCTTAATGGTTTTTGGTGCAGTTGTGAATAGGATTTTCTTTTCTTTTCTTTTTTTAAGATTTTATTTATTTATTTGACAGAGATCACAAGTAGGCAGAGAGGCAGGCAGAGAGAGAGAGAAAGAAGGAAGCCAGCTCTCTGCTCCGCAGAGAGCCCAATGCAGGGCTCGATCCCAGGACCCTGAGATCATGACCTGAACTGAAGGCAGAGGTTTAACCCACTGAGCCACCCAGGTGCCCCAGGATTGTTTTTCTTAATTTCTCTTGCTGCTGCTTAATTAATGGTATATAGAAATACAAGAGATTTCTGTACACTGGTTTTGTATTCTGCAACTTTTGAATTCATGTATCAGCTCTAGCAGGTTTTGGTGGTTTTTAAGGTTTTTTTATATATAGTATCATGTCATCTCAAATAGTGAAAATTTTACTTCTTCCTTACCAATTTGGACGCTTATTTTCCTTTTTGTTGTCTGATTGCTGTGGCTAGCACTTTAGTACTGTGTTGAGTAAAGGTGGTGGGACTGGATCTTACCTTGTTCCTGATCTTAGGGAAAAAGCGTAGTTTTTTGAGTATGATGTTTGCTGTGGGCTTTTCATATTTGGCCTTTTATGTTGAGGTATGTTTCCTCCACAGAGGTGGAGGGTTTTTATCATGAGTGGATGTTGTACGCTGTCGGGTGCTTTTTCTGCATCTATTGAAAAGATCATAGGGTTTTTATCCTTTCTCTTGTGAACGTGATATATCACATTGAATGATTTGTGAATATTGAACCACCTTTACATCCCAGGAATAAATCCCACTTGATCGTGGCGAATGATTATTTTAATGTATTTTTAATGTATTATTGAATTTGATTTGCTAGTAGTTTGCTGAGAATTTTTGCATCTGTGTTCATAAGAGATACTGGCCTTTGGTTCTGTGTGTGTGTGTGTGTGTGTGTGTGTGTAGTAATTTTATCTGGTTTTGGTGTCAGGATGATAGTGGCCTCACAGAATGAATCTGGAAGTTTTCCTTTCTCTTTTTTTTTGAATACTTTGAGAGGAATGGATAATAATTTTTCTTCAGGTATTTGGTAGACTCTGCCTGTGAAGCCATCTGGTTCTGAACTTTGTTGGGAGTTTTTTTATTACTGATTCAGTTTCATTGCTGGTAATTAGTCTGTTCAAATTTTCTATATCTTATTGTTTCAGTTTGGGTATTAGTTTCTAGGAACTTACACATTTCTTCTAGGTTGTGCAGTTTGGCATAGTTTTTCCTGATATTCTCTTAAAATTGTATTTTGGGTGTTGTTATTTCTCCTCTCTCATTTGATACTACTTTTGGTTCTTTCCCTTTTTTTTCCTTGATGAGTCTGGCCAAGGGTTTATCTATTTTACTGATTCCACCCCCCAAGAAAACATTTAATTTCATTAATTAATTTGTTCTATTCATTAATTTGTTCTATTAATTTGTTTTCATTAATTTGTTCTATTGCGTTTTTAGTTTTTATATCATTTATTTCTGCTCTAATCTTTTTTATTTTCCTTTTTTGCTGGCTTTAGACTTTGCTTGTTATTCTTTTTCTAGTTTCCTTAGGTGTAAGATTAGGTTGAGATTTTTCTTGCTTCTTGAAGAAGACCTGTATTGCTATATACTTCCTTCTTAGGACCACTTTTGCTGTATCCCAAAAGTTTAGAGCCTCTATTTTCATTTTCCTTTGTTTCCATGTACCTTTTTATATTTATTTCCTGGTGGACCCATTCATTGTTTATGAGCATATATTAGTGTTCTTTCCAGATGTCTTCTTGTGGTTGATTTCTAGTTTCATAGCACTGTGGTCAGTAGAGATGTCAGCATGACTTCAGTCTTTTTTAATTTGTTGAGGCTTGTTTTGTAGTCTAATATATGATCTGTTCTGGAGAATGTTCCATACACACTCAAAAAGAACGTGTATTCTGCTTTTTTAGGATGTAATGTTCTGTATATATCTGTTAAATCCACCTGGCCCATCTGTTACTCGAAGGCATTGTTTCCTTGTTGATTTTCTGTTTCGATGATCTGTCCCTTGATGTGAGTAGAGTGTTAAAGTCCTCTACTATTATTGTATTAGTATCATTTACTTCCTTTATGTTTTTATTCACTGTTTTGTTATTTGGGTGCTCCCATGTCGGGTGCATAAATATTTAAATTGTTACATCTTCTTGTTGGATTGTCCCTTATCATATAGTGTTCTTCTTTGTCTCACATTATAGTCTTTTTTTTTTAATTAACATACAATGTATTATTAGCCCCAGGGGTACAGGTCTGTGAATCACCAGGTTTACACACTTCACAGCACTCACCATAGCACATACCTTCCCCAGTGTCCATAACCCAACCACCCTCTCTCTACCCTCCTCTCCCCAGCAACCCTCAGTTTGTTTTGTTAAGATTAAGAGTCTCTTGTGGTTTGTCTCCCTCCCAATCCCATCTTGTTTCATTTATTCTTTTCCTACCCCCCAACCCCCCATGTTGCCTCTCAACTTCCTCATACCAGGGAGGTCATACAATAATTGTCTTTCTCTGATTGACTTATTTTGCTAAGCACAATACCCTCTAGTTCCATCCACATCATCGCAAATGGCAAGATTTCATTTCTTTTGATGACTGAATAGTATTCCATTTGTGTGTGTGTGTGTGTGTGTGTGTGTGTGTGTGTGTATTTATACACCACATCTTCTTTATCCATTCATCTGTTGATGGACATCTAAGTTCTTTACAATTGAGGACATTGTTGCTATAAACATTCGGGTGCACGTGCCCCTTCAGATCACTACGTTTGTATCTTTAGGGTAAATACCCAGTAGTGCGATTGCTGGGTCATAGGGTAGCTCTATTTTCAACTTTTTGAGGAACCTCCATTCTGTTCTCCAGAGTGGTTGCACTAGCTTGCGTTCCCACCAACAGTGTAGGAGGGTTCCCCTTTCTCTGTATCCTTGCCAGCATCTGTTGTTTCCTGACCTGTTCATTTTAGCCATTCTGACTAGTGTGAGGTGGTATCTCACTGTGGTTTTGATTTGTATTTCCCTGATGCCGAGTGATGTGGAGCAATTTTTCCTGTGTCTGTTGGCCATCTGGATGTCTTCTTTGCAGAAATGTCTGTTCATGTTCTCTGCCCATTTCTTGATTGGATTATTTGTTCTTTGGGTGTTGAGTTTGATAAGATTCTTTATAGATTTTGGATACTAGCCCTTTATCTGATACGTCGTTTGCAAATATCTTCTCCCATTCTCTCAGTTGTCTTTTGGTTTTGATGATTGTTTCCTTTGCTGTGCAGAAGCTTTTGATCTTGGGGTGCCTGGGTGGCTCAGCCAGTTAAGTGTCTGCCTTCAGCTCAGGTCATGATCCCAGGGTCCTGGGATCGAGCCCCTCATCAGGCTCTCTGCTCAGCGGGAAACCTGTTTCTCCCTCTCCCTCTGCCTGCCTCTCTGCCTACTTGTGATCTCTCTCTCTGTCAAATAAATCTTTTTAAAAAAGGTTAAACTTTTTTTAAAATTCTAAAAAAGATGTTAAGTTGGTTAGGAAAAGAAAGAAAAAGAAAGTGGAGAGAATTTGCTCAGGCTGGAGACTAGAACAAAGCCCTGTGCTAGGTTTAGGGTATATTTTGATCTATTAGAAGTTGTATCCCAGGGGTGCCTGAGTGGCTCAGTGGGTTAATCCTCTGCATTCAGCTCAGGTCATGATGTCAGGGTCCTGGGATCGAGTCCTGCATTGGCCTCTCTGCTTAGCGGGGAGCCTGCTTACCCCTGTCTCTCTGCCTGCCTCTGCCTACTAGTGATCTCCCTTTCTCTGTCAAATAAATAAAAAGATCTTAAAAAAAAAAAGTATCCCAAATTTTTTTAGAAGAAAAAACTCTATGTGTCTACAAAAAATAAATTTAGATACAATGAAGGATAAATATTACTATAATAATGAAAGTTCAAAAATATTTTTTAATGACAGGTATTATTAAGATAAACTAGTTAAAAAACGTTAAAAGAGGAAAGAGTAAAAGTTAAAAAAATTAGAATTAAAAAATTTTAAAAAATTAATTAACGTTGCAAGACTAAAGAATCATGGGGAGAAAGCCATAAATTCCATGCTTTGCTTCCTCCTCCTCTGGAATTCCGCTGTTCTCCTTGATGAGTGAACTTGGTCTTGGCTGGATTTCTTGCTGATCTTCTGGGGGAGGGGCCTGTTGTAGTGATTCTCAAGTGTCTTTGTCCCAGGCAGAATTGCACCACCTTTGTCAGGGGCGGGACTAAGTAATCTGATCGGGTTCAATTTCGGGAGCTTTTGTTCCCTGAATGCTTTCCATAGAGTTCCCGAGTATAGGAATGAAAATGGTGGCCTCCCAGTCTCCGGCCCGGAGGAGCCGAGAGCTCGGGGCCCCACTCCTGAGTGCACCCTTAGAGCAAAGTGCTTAATCACTCCTGTCTCTCTGGCCTCCGGCCGCACCCCGAGCTCACCCAGCCTGTGACCAAGCATCTCTGTCTCTGGCACACAGCCCTGCCTGGAGTCTCCAAACCCAGCACTGCTCTTCCAGGGGGTGTCTCCAGATCTGCCACTTCTGGGGTCCCTGCTCAAAGCAGTAGTGTGACTGTGCCATGGATCACAGTTTAAGGTACCGAGTTGAGCGCTCACTCCTTGGCTCTGTCTCTGGAGCTGGCCTCCCTGCTCTAATACCTGTAAGCTCTGTGACACTCAGGCACCCCCGATCCTTCTGTGGCCCCGCAGGACCTGAGATCACACTGTTCCCACATGGGCTCCACCCTGGCTTAGCCCCTGGAGCATTGTACCTCAGTGGAGCAGACTTTTTTTTTTTAATTTCTTTATTTTTTTATAAACATGTAATGTATCAGCCCCAGGGGTACAGGTCTGTGAATCGCCAGGTTTACACACTTCACAGCACTCACCACAGCACACACCCCCACAACGTCCATAACCCCACCACCCCTCCCGACCCCCCTCCCCCCAGCAACCCTCAGTTTGTTCTGCGAGATTAAGAGTCTCTTATGGTTTGTCTCCCTCCCGATCCCATATTGTTTCATTTATTCTTTTCCTACCCGCCCCCCAAGCCCTCCACATTGCATTTCCACTTCCTCATATCAGGGAGATCATATGATAGTTGTCTTTCTAGTGGAGCAGACTTTTTAAAGTTCTGATTTTGTGCTCCGTTGCTTTGCCACTTGCTGGGAGCCGGCCCCTCCCCCTGCAGTCTATCTTCCCGTCGCTTTGGATTCACTTCTCTGCAGGTCCTGCCTTTCAGAAAGTGGTCAATTTTCTGTTTCTAGAATTGCTGCTTTTCTTTTCTTCCATCTCCTGTTGGATTTTTAGGTGTTCGGAATCTAGTCTTTGTTTTAAAGTCTGTTTTTTCCCATATAAGTTATTGCTACCCTGGCTTTCTTTTCCATTTGCGTAAAAGATGCTTCTCCATCCCCTCACTTTCAATCTGTGTCTAGGTCTAAAATGAGTCTCTTGTAAGCAGCCGATAGATCGATCTTTTTTTTTTTTAAACTCTTCTAATAACCTATGTCTTTTTATTAGAATGTTTAGTCCACTTACATTCAAAGTAATTTGGTAGAAATGTATTTATGCCACTTTATTCCTTGTTTTGAGGTTGTTTCTCAAGATTTTCTCTGATCCTTTCTTGTCTTTTTTCATAGTTTGCTGGGTGTCTTTAGTGATATACTTGGAGTCCTCTATTTTTTTTACATATCTATAATTGGTTTTGATTTGTGGTCATCATTATGTTTGTATAGAACATCTTATACCTATTGCAGTCTTTATGAAGTTGATAGTCATTTAAGTTTGGAACCACTCTCCCTGCCCCTCCCACCTTGTTCTAGGTATATGGGATCATATTTTTCATCCTTTCAATTTGTGAGTTCCTTGACTGATTTTTTTTTTTACAGATATATTCATTTTTACTGCTTTTGTGTTTCTAAACTTTATACTGTCATTTTTAGTCTTTCCTTTTGCACTCAGAGATTCCCCTTTAATATTTTTTACAGGGCTGGTTTAGTTGTCATGAACTCCTTTAATTTTTGTTTCTCTGGGAAACTCTTGCTCTCCTATTCTGAATGATAGCATTTCTGGATAAAGTATTTTTGACTTCAGGTTTTCCCATCTAGAACTTTGAATAATATATCATGCCACCCCTTTGTCTTGGAAAGTTTCTGCTGAAAAATCTGATAACTTTATGGGGTTTCCTTTGTATGTTACCATCATCTTTGTCTTGCTGCTTTTTATATTTTTTCTTTATCACTATATTTTGCCATTTTAATTACAATATGTCTTGGTGTGGTTGTGCCTTTGTTGATTTTGTTGGGAGTTCTCTGTATCCTGAATCTGGGTATCTGTTTCGTTCCCCGATTAGGAAAGTTTTCAGCTATTACTTCGGCAAGTAAATTCTCTACTCTCTTTTCTCTGCCTTCTGGGACTCCTACAAGGTGAATGTTATTACATTTGATAGTCACTGAGTTCCATAAGTGTTCTTCTGTTGCATAATTCTTTTTCCTCTTTTTTGTTCAGCTTGATTACATTAGTCTGTTTTTTAGGTCATTAACTCATTCCTCTGCTTCTTCCAGCCTTCTCTTCATTCCATCAAGTGAAATGTTTCTCATTTCATTTATTGGTCCCTTTATCTCTTTATTATTCTTCATCTCATTAAGGATCTCATTGATATTCTCTACTCTTTTCTCAAGTTCATTGAGTATCCTTATGATCATCATTTTAAATTTACATCAGGCATATTACTTCTATCTGTTTTGCTTAGATCTCTGGCTGTGGCATTGTCCTGTTCTTCCATTTGGGATAAATTCCTCTGACTTCTCATTTTGTCTAAGTCTCTGTGCCTATCTCTGCGTGTTAGCAAAGTCCTTTATGTCTCCTGCTCTTAAAGATAATGGCCTTATGAAAAAGAGGTCCTATAGTGCCCTGAAATATAGTGTCCCCTGTTTCCCAGAGCGAGGCACTTCTGCATGTATCTCCAGTGTGTGCTGGCAGAGCTCTGCTGTTGTGTCCTGGCCACTTTATCCTTCAGGCCAGTCATCTGGAGAGGCTTTCTTTGCCTGTTGTGGACAGTGTTTAGTCTCTGGCCTGAATGTGGCACATTTTAACTAGGTATGCTCTGGTCTGCTTGTGAAATGAGAGCTCTTGCCACTGCCATGGAAACCAGGGCCTTGTAAAACTCCTGGGTCGGGAAATGCGGGATGAGCAGGGGTTTGGGTTGGTCTTCTGAGGTAGGGAGCCTGCTGTGCTGGGAGTGAGAAAGGCAGGACTGAGATGACCGTTCCTCCAGCGTGTGGGGTGGTGAGACTTGGTGTAAACAGTTAGGTAATGAGGGTTGCTGCTAGGCTGGTTTCTGCAGGCAGCTCAGTGCTGATGCTGAGGGGCAGGGGAGAGAAATGGTGTCTGTCTGTTCCTTTGGCCCTTGAGTGGTCTCTCCATGAATGCTGCCTCTCTGCGGCACTTGCCAAGATGAACAGCTAACATTTCCCCACTGTGTGCCCCAGGTGCTCTTCAGATTGCTGTTTGCCCTGCCTCTTCTCCAGGAGCTGCCCTAGTGTCCTCTATGCTCCAAGCATGCTGACCTTTAAAAAGCCCCAGGCTTTAACTCACAAAATTCAGGCTTTCCTCCTTTTCAAACCAATCGCTGTGGGGATTTGTTTTCCCCATGCGCTCTCGTGCTAGTTTGCCTCTTGTCTTTCCCCGCAACCACGGCTCCCTCCCCACCACAGCGGGCACAAATTGCGTCTCCATACTTCCTGTCTTCTTTTTTGTGGTCTCGCTTCTACCTTTAGTTGTGGAGTTTGATCTGCCAGTCATCAGATTAATTTCTGGGGTATTTAGGATGGTCTCATAGTTACCTAAGTTGTATTGGTGGGAGGAGGCAAGCCTAGTGTCCTATTCCACCACCATCTTTTCCTCCCACCAACAGCATTTTTCACAAAACTAGAACAATATCCTAAAAGTTGTATGGAACCACAAAAGACCCCAAATAGCCAAAGCAGTCTTAGAAAAGAACAAAGCTGGTGGCATCACAATCCCAGATTTTAAGATCTATTGCAAAGCTGTAGTAGTCAAAACAGTCTGGTAATTGTACAAAAATAGACATATAGATCAGGAATAGACTAGAAAACCCAGAAACAAACCCATGTTTATATGGTCAGTTAATCTTTGACAACAGGCAAGAATATGCAATGGGAAAAAGGCAGTCTCTTCAATAAACGGTGCTGGGAAAACTGGACAGCCTCATCTCAAAGAATGAAACTGGGCCACTTTTTTACACCATACACAAAAATAAACTTAAAATGGATTAAGACCTAAATGTGAGACCTGAAACCATAAAAATCCTAGACGAGAGCACAGGGAGAAACAAACTCTTCATTCTAGAGAACAGACAGATGATTACCAGAGAAGAGGTGGGTGCAGGACAAGGGAAACAGGCGATGGGGATGAAGGGGGGCACTTGTGATGAGCACCGAGTGATGTATGAAGTGTTGAATCACTGTATTGTACCCCTGAAACTAACACAACACTCTGTTAAGTATATTGGAATTAAATTTTTTTTTTATTTCCCCTCATCATTTTTTTAAAAATTATCTCTTTGATGAAGGGAGAAGTGTGTGATAAAGCAAATTTAGAGGAATGTTATTTGTACAGTCTTAATGATATGTTTATAGGTGTTCACTGGGTAATTTTTCAACTTTTATGTTTAAAAATTTTCATAATATGTTGTGGAAAAATGTGAAAAATCTCTAATTTTATATTACTAATACAGTGGCCACAGGCTACTCTTCTAACTTAAATGATGCCACTCTTTAGTATAAATTTCTAATTTCTTGCTCCCTAAATTAGAGTACTAAGGCTATGTTTTGTCTTTATAATTTCAGATTAGCTTAATATGTTTTGGTGACAGTTTAAAAAGGCAACTTTTACATTTCAGCCAAAGTAGTCATGATTAAACTAAATCTTTTCTAAAAGTCTACCAAATATAGGGCTTAAGAATACCTTATCTTGGGGCGCCTGGGTGGCTCAGTCAGTTAAGCAGCTGCCTTCAGCTCAGATCATGATCCCAGGGTCCTGGGATTGAGCCCCGCATTGGGCTGCCCAATCAGCGAAGAGCCTGCTTCTCCTTCTCCCTCTGCCTGCTGCTCTGCCTACTTGTGCTTTCTAATAAATAAATAAATAAAATATTTTAAAAAAAGGAATACTTTGTCTAATTTTCTTTGTTCCCTGTTATTCTCCTGATTATCCTGGATATCTCTTGATATCCTGGAAGTCTTGATATGTAGCTTAATTCCAGTTGTGTTGAGAGTGAGGTAGACGTACATATATTTTAGGCTTCCTTTCTTTAAAGAATATCTTTTTTTCTTTTTCTTTCTTTTTTTTTAAAGATTTTATTTATTTGACAGACAGAGATCACAAGTAGGCAGAGAGAGAGAGAGAGGAGGAAGCAGGCTCCCCACTGAGCAGAGAGCCCGATGCGGGGCTTGATCCCAGGACCCTGGGATATGACCTGAGCGGAAGACAGAGGCTTTAAGCTACTGAGCCACCCAGGTGCCCCTCTTTTTTCTTTTAATAGTGATTTGGTTTAGGGTTAATCCAGAATTAAAGCAGTATTCAACCCTATTTTATGAATGTTATTCTTTTCCCATAGCTATACAGCTTGCTTATATGCATGTATGTGTGCATGTATATACCTATGTATAATTTTTTTTTTTTTACAGTACTTGAAAGCTGTGATAACTCCAGAGTGTCTTCTGATACTAGATTATCGTAATTTAAATTTGGAGCAATGGCTTTTCCGGGAACTCCCTTCTCAGTTGGCTGGAGAAGGACAACTTGTCACATACCCTTTACCTTTTGAGTTTAGGGCTATAGAAGCACTCCTACAATATTGGGTAAGCCTATTTTTATTTTGCTTCTTGAATGTTTTCTTGTTTTAAAATGCTGTTGAGTAGGAAGACAAGTTGGCATTGTTTCAATGACACCATCCCTAACCGTACCCTACCTCCCAACAAAAGTGTCTCTGAGGGTCCTGTGTGAAGAACGTACTTAATTCTTAAGCTATACGATCCAATCAAATAGATCTGAGGTCTCTAGGGACAGTTTATAGAGTCTCTTTGAGAGTCTTATTATGACATTCAGTTAAGCACATTTTAAGTTGGCTGTCCTTTGTATAGTTTTGATAATTGTATTTGAGGGGTGATAATTCAAAATACTTAACATCATATCAAAAAAGTTTTAAATATTCTCTATTATTCTGTAACAAAAGTGAATATTGTAAAACTGCATACATACGGTGAACATAGCTCAGATCATTCTCATACTTTCCCCGTCACTCTGATTTGTGGGTACAGTCCTTGGAGGCAGCTACATGATGCCACTGTTGGAGACCTACTTTGACATAGGAACCAGGGATAATTCTTCCAATGATTCCCCTATTATGTAGATCATTCCTGGGTGTCTAGGGACCCTATCAGGTCCTGAACAACAATGGTCACTGCCCTCCTGGCCCCACAAAATGGTTCATTATCTTTTCTTACCCCCCAGTGGTCAGTGCAGTGCTGTTCAGGAGCCGGCTGAGCGCACCAAGTGGAGGGAGGGAGGGAAGCAGGTGAAGAGGACCTGCAGTGGGTGAGGACTGGATGGACCCGGACCCTTCTCTTCTGTCTCCCCTGCTGTACCGAGGGAGTAGGAAATGGCTACATCCCCCACTCACTCGGGTTCGTGAGGCAGAAGCACTGGCTAGTACCAGCCCAGGAGATGGTGACCAGTCGGAGCCCAGTTACTAAACAGGGGAAATGCAGGGGAGGGAAAGGAGGGAAGGTGCAGCCAGTGGTGAGTGGCAGGCTGCGTGGGCTAAGCGCTCAGGAGCTCAGGCTGAGATGAATAGTGCGTGCTGGCTTCTGTGCCGTTCGTTGTTTTACTAATTAACTGCTTAATTCTGTTAATGCTGTTTGCCAGCTGGTACGGGAATATTTCAATATTTTAACAACGGGTATAGCCTGTATCAGTGCTGTCCTGCTGAATGCCTGAACAATAAGTAGTATAGTTTTGACTTGACACTGGTTTATTTTTCAAGTCCCAAGTTATGTTTTGGGTTTTGGAAGAATCTTTTTCATAGGAATTTTGAACTGTGTTCTGTTTACGAAGAATGTGGGTATTGTTTACCAAATGTAAAGTATGTGTTTTAACCATGAAATGGCAGGTTTTAATCAGCCTTGCATTCCTTTCATAATAAATGTTTGTGGGGAAGACTCTTAGGAGAGTTAATTCCCTGTCAACCAAATGGAAGCCTGGTAACGTGCATGGTTATCTTTTAACCTGGTGGATCTAGTTTATGAATCATCTGAAATAGGCATTCCAGCAGTGACCATGTTCTGAAGCATTACCAGCCTGCCTAGCTATTACAGATTTCTGTGTCTAATCAGAGGATTCACTGATCCTGAGTATTCTAAAAAGATTGTTTTGATTCTTATGAAAGGTCATGTTGTTATCTAGATCAGCACTCTTCAGGGGAAACTTAGCATTTTGCAGCCACTGATCCTTGAGACATTGGAAGCTTTAGTGGATCCCAAACATTCTTCTGTAGACAGAAGCAAATTGCACATCTTACTACAAAATGGCAAAAGGTAAATATGGGAGATCTACCAATTTGGGAGATAGACAAAAATATCTTAAGCTTTTCTTTTAGTAGTCCTAATAGAAAATGTATAGCATTAATTCAGATACAAAATCAGTGTGATTATTCCCTGTTTTAAAAATACCAACTAGTTTTGCTAATGGTAATGGTTTTCTCTCTGTGCCTTGAAGTCGGAAGGTAGCCTAGGTGAGAAGTTGAGCTAACAAGGGCACATAGACTAATGATTATGGAAAAGCTGTTTTTGCATGAAATGTTGTATCAGGGTCTTTAATTTATTTCTGGATGGAAATTGATTCTTGAAGTGCATGGTGAATATCAAAAATTTCTTTTACAAGTCAGTGTTTACCATTAATGTATAAGTGGGTCTACTTGATAAGATACTTTAAAAAGTTACGTTTTTTAATAGGAAAAGTGTTTATAAGTTAATGTTATTGATCATTTCTATACAACTACGCTTATAGTTTGTCGGAGTTAGAAACAGATATTAAAATTTTCAAAGAATCCATGTTGGAGATCTTGGATGAAGAGGAGTTGTTGGAGGAGCTCTGTCTCACGAAGTGGAGTGACCCACAAGTCTTGTAAGTCTGGAGTCCTGCTTTGTCACTGGTCTTGTTAGGATCAGTCTTCTGTCTTCTTCAGGATGGTTCTTCTTAGAGAACGTAACGTTTTCTCCAGAGTAGAGAATACAGGCACTTTTTATCCTCAGTTGTTTCACTATTTGCCCATATGCATGTTTAGTGTAATGAGGATATACTGAATGTCTGCTGTGTACATAGCACTGCGCTGGGCTGTGATGAATACAAACAACACCATTACCTTTATCTTCAAGGGCCTGACCCCCAAAGTGGCTGACACATCTACCCGAATAACTTAGCCTGGGGAGTGCGGTGGGAGAGCGGGAAAGAGACTCACATGGGGGCAGGGAAAGAGGGGTGGAGGAAGATAGGACACTGGCATATATTCTGTAACTTTGATCTGATATAGAAAAGGCTTATCTTAGGGGCGCCTGGGTGGCTCAGTGGGTTAAAGCCTCTGCCTTCGGCTCAGGTCATGATCTCAGGGTCCTGGGATCGAACCCCCCCATCGGGCTCTCTGCTCAGCAGGGAGCCTGCTTCCCCGCCCCCCACCCCGCTCTGCCTGCCTCTCTGCCTACTTGTGATCTCTCTCTCTCTCTCCCTCTCTCTCTCTCTCTCTCTCTGTCAAATAAATAAATAAATAATCTTTTTTTAAAAAAGGCCTATCTTGAGACGCCTGGGTGGCTCAGTGGGTTAAAGCCTTTGCCTTCAGCTCAGGTCATGATCCCAGGGCCCTGGGATCGAGCCTTGCATTGGGCTCTCTGCTCAGCAGGGAGCCTGCTTCCTCCTCTCTCTGCCTGCCTCTCTGCCTACTTGTAATCTCTGTCTGTCAAATAAATAAATAAAATCTTAAAAAAAAAAAAAAAAAAGCCTATCTTAGAAAACTTTTATCTCTTACAGAATTAGAAATTATTTGTTCTTCTTATGCACATCAAGTTAAATGTTTATTTTTTAAGTACTCAGAATATTTCATTTTTGTTCTTTGTAGACAAATATTAGAAATTAATGGAGACACCTCTGTAATGTATACAGTTTCCACAACCTGTACAGATTTTTTAAGCATTTTGGGAAAATAGTTATCTGTATTCTAATAAGGAAAAATTAAGACTATAAGGGCTATTATATAGCAGATATAGTAGCAGAAACTTGAACACATTTGTAACTCTTGTTTGCTTTATTAGGCCAATCTGTGTCTAATGTACTCTATGATCTAACTCTTTCACAGAGCACTTCAGTCCCACTAACTCTCCTTGGTAGGGGGTGGGGGGATGAGTAAAGGGGTACAAAGTGACTATTAACATCACTCAAGGACATATTTCTTCATATATGAAAATAACATTATGTATCTGCCTTGGAAAGGAAAAGCTTTTTGTTTTGTTTTTAGTTTGTTTTGCCTTATTTTCACTAATTTGCACTCATTCATCAGCATTTACACATTCAGAATTTTCCTTTGTCTGGTAGTGCATATGTGCATGAGAATCCCTTGACCTGGGATCGAGTGCAGTGAGCCCAGGCCTGCGGGCTGGAACCCGCACCCCCGCTTACTCTTCATAGTGTTCAGGATCACTTGGTTAAGCTACTCACTGATTGAGCTCAGTCACAGTAAGAAAAAACCGAGGCCACTTTTTTGTTCATAGTTGAGTATTCTGTACGGATTTAGACAGTGTTTGGTACCAAATGGGTGATGCCTGTGTTGGGGTGTGCTAATTATGTTAACTCTTAACTGAAGTGAAAAGAGCAGTGCTGGAATCGACCATGCAGAAGAGATGGAGTTGCTTTTGGAAAACTACTACCGGTTAGCCGAGGATCTCTCCAATGCAACACGGGAACTCAGGGTATTGATCGATGATTCTCAAAGTATCATATTCATCAATCTGGACAGGTGAGAAAGCATCCTGTAGAACAACCAAAGGAATTCTAAAGTGATGAATGTTTTAAGAAAACTGTCATTTTGGGAGGAGTTATACCATCATTATCATGTATAAATACTACATAGAAAGATGTCCTTTTCTAAAGGTGTAGATTTAATTTATGTGGTTTTAATAAATGATTTCATGAATTTACTATGTGTAGTTAGTGGGCCCTTCTGATGTAAGCTGTTCTCCTCTCCAGCCACCGTAATGTGATGATGAGGTTGAACCTACAGTTGACCATGGGAACCTTCTCTCTTTCTCTCTTTGGACTAATGGGAGTTGCTTTTGGAATGAATTTGGAATCTTCCCTTGAAGAGGTGAGACTATTATTTCAGCGATCTAGGGATTATTTTTTGTTTTGAGGATCATTTTTTAAAATGGTTTTTAAGGGGCACCTGGCTAGCTCAGTCAGCTCTCGATCTTGGGGCTGTGGGTTCGAGCCTCACATTGGGAGTAGAGTTGCTTCAAAATAAAATCTTAAAAAAAAAAAAAAGGATTTTAAAAAAGAGTCTTAACATATATACATCCCTAGTGAATTAAAATGTTTACTCTAATTCATTCAAAATTCAGGCAGTATTTTTAGACCCTGTTGTAACACAAATATAATGATAGCCATGGTTACCTCATGTTTCTCAAAAAATGGAACCACACATAGAAAAAGTTTGACAAAACAGCATTACACTGTGAAGGAATGCTCTTTGGAGGATCACACCATCAAAGAGACTGCTCTTCCAGGACCGCGCCGTGAGGCTCTGGTGATGTGGGATCACAGGATGAGGTGGTGCTCCCGCTGGATCGTGCCGTGAGGCTCTGGTGACGCGGGATCATAGGATGAAGTGATGCTTCTGCAAGATTGCGCCATGAGGCTCTGGTGATGTGGGATCACAGTTAGAGGTTGTGCTCCCCCAGGATCGTGCTGTGAGGCTGTGGTGATGTGGGATCACAGGATGAGGTGGTGCTCCCGCAGGATTGTGCTGTGAGGCTCTGGTGATGCAGGATCACAGGACGAGGTGGTGCTCCCGCAGGATCACACCATGAGGCTGTGATGATGCAGGATCACAGGGTGAGGCGGTGCCTCCTCAGGATCGTGCCATGCTGTGGCGGTAAGCAGGATCACAGTGAGGCCATGCTAACAGAAGACTACCTTTCTAGTTTTCATGTTCCCAGCATTGGTAGTTCACTTGCTTTATTTGGTGAGGTCACAACTATGAAGATGGACGTGTTATCCCTACTTTATAGATGAGAAGACAGACTCAGGAAATTGAAGTGATTTGCCCAGGGGCACAGTGCTAGAAAATCACGGTTGTGATCTGAGCCCAAGACTTGCACTCTCCACTCTGCTGCCTTTTCATATTAATAGAACACTAAGGTGCCAGAGCTCTTCCTATCATTGCAGTGTGGTCTTTCAGAAAGTATCTTGCTGTAGGATTTCTAGAAAATAATCTGCACACTACACTGCATTCAGCACACTTGGACTCTATGTCCTCATTAATCTTTTTTTTTTTTAATTTTATTTTACTTAAATTCAATTAATTAATATATAGCATATTAGTTTGAGGTAGAGGTCAGTGATTCCTCAGTCTTATATAACACCCAGTGCTCATTACCTCAGGTGCCCTCCCCTCACCTCCCCTCCAGCAGCCCTCAGTTTGTTTCCTATGATTAAGAATCTCTTATGGTTTGCCTCCCTCTCTGATTCTTATTTTGTCTTTCCTTCCCCTCCCCTTGATCCTCTGTTTGGTTTGTTAAATCCCACATATGAGTGAAATCATAGGTTATTTGTCTTTCTCTGACTGACTTATTTCTCTTAGCATAATGCCCTTTAGCTCCATCCATGGCATTGAATGTGGCAAGATTTCATTTTTGATGACCGAATAGTATTCCATTGTGTCCTCATTCATTTAAAAGATCTGTTCTCTGTCTCTTTGGCTGCCATCCTGGTTGAACCCATGTCATCTCTGATCAGGACCACTCTTTGCTTCTGGAAAATGGTCTGTAAAAGCAGCAAACCTTGTGGTCACTTTTCTGTGAAATGATTCACTGGTGTTTGCCCTTAAAATAAAGACCCAGACTCCTTGGCCCGCAGGGCTCTCCACGCTGAAGCCAGCCACCTCGCCCTCGCCACGGGTGTCGCATCAGTATTTCCTCCCCCTCGAGCTTCCTCCAGGCCACAGCTGTCCTTGGCTCCCAGCTCTCCTGCCCAGCCGACTTCTGCTTACCTCTACATCTCGGCTTATGCACCGCTTCCAAGGACGATCTCCAAGGCCCAGTCGGTGTTAGTCATTTTCACGTTCTTTATAAGATGTGAAAGGAAAAATCAGTGCAGTACATTTGTTCCTTCATCTTAAAAACGTGGGTTTTGGTGCCTCCTCTGTAGTGCGCGCTGCTTTCAGCCCCAGGGAAATGGCAGGGAGTGTCTGCCTTCAGGAAGGAGAGGGGCAGACAGACACAGAGCACGTTTGGTGGTAAGTGCCATCAAGAGGAAGCCGGGTGGAAGGATGCCAGGAGGTACGCTAAGGAGCATTTTAAAGCTGGGTGCTCAAGAATGTCCCGAGGAGGTGATGCTAGAAAGCAGGACGGTCGGAGGGAAAGTGTTTTCAGCAGAGGCGCGCACACAAGGAATTACCGGAGCGGGAACAGGCTGCGCTTGTTCAAGGAATGGCAAGGGCCGTGGGGGCAGGAGAGGGTGAGCCTGGCAGAGACAGGTGGGAAAGGTCAGAGCAAACGAATGGGAGATGGTGTTGAATTTGTAGAGCCTATGATGGTTTGCATTTAAGTGTGTTAGGCATCCGTTGGGAGGCTTTTAGGCCCACACGTAGTTACTAGAAAGTTCAGAAGCAACCAAAACATCTTGTGCAACATAAACCAACCCTTGAAATTCTCCAGAGGTAACTTCTAAAGACCTCTGCAGATTCCCCAGTGTGTGGCTACAGAACTCTTTATACAAGATCAGGTCATTTTTGTTAAGAATCGTGTTTCTATACATACAGTCTACAAACACACTTTTATACTTTTTTTTCATTTTATACTTATTTTCTCATTTAACGTCCATTTTTAAAAGGGATTTTTGAAAATTCCTCTCTGATAGTTCCACGCAGTCCCAGGTGTAGTGCAACCCAGTTATGACGGGAGGTGAGTGGTTTGTGGCCAGTTACTTGCTCAGTACAGGGTGATTAGCTCCGGCAGAACAAGATTCAGATCAGTCCCTCATCAGTTAGTTACTAATTACGTGTCTAGATAATCTGAAGAACAGCTCAGACGTGTTTACTAAATCCCCAGATGTCAAGGTCTCTACCCCTGTGTAGACGGGGTTACTATTGACAATGATCAACCTAGGATAGGAAAAACTTTTTTTACTTCTTGTTTTAAGATAATTTTAGACCCTTCTAAGAGTAGTCAAAGAATTGCCATGGAGCCTTCCCCCATTCTTTTATCACCAACATGTATCACCTTCCCTGTCTCATTCTCTCTCTTTTTTTAAGATTTTATTTATTAATTTGACAGATCACAAGTAGGCAGAGAGGCAGGCAGAGAGAGAGGAGGAAGCAGGCTCCCTGCTGAGCAGAGAGCACAATGCGGGGCTTGATCCCAAGACCCTGGGATCATGACCTGAGCTGAAGGCAGAGGCTTAACCCACTGAGCCACTCAGGCACCCTCATTCTATCTTTATATACAGCCTCTTTTTCCTAAAACCACTTGAGAGTAAGCAACAGAGGTGATAACCCTTTACCTCTGGCAACCCAGAAATAAATCCCACTTGACAGTAATGAATGATTGCTTAATGTATTATTGGATTTGATTTGCTAGTATTTTGTTGAGTTTTTTTGCATCCGTGTTCATCAGAGATATTGGCCTGTAGTTCTCTTTTTCGTAGTGTCTTTGGTTTTGGTATTTGGGTGATGCTGGCCTCATAGAATGAATTTAAAAGTTTTCCTTTTTCCTTTTTTTTTTTTTTTTTTTAAATAGTTTGAGAGGAACAGATATAATTTTTCTTTAAAGTTTGGTAGAATTAACCAAAGCAATCTGGTCCTGACTTTTATTTGTTGAGAGTTTTTTTTTTTTTTTATTACTGATATAATACCATTGCTGGTAATTGGTCTGTTCAAATTTCCTTATTTCTTCCTGATTCAGTTTTGGGAAGTTATATGTTTCTAGGAATTCCACTTCTTCTAGGTTATCCAATTTTTTGGCATATAATTTTCTATAGTATTCTCTTACGGTCCTTTGTATTTCTGCGATGGTTATTATTTCCTGTTTCATTTCTGATTTTGTTTGAGTTTTCTCGTTTTCTTTTTGATGAGTCTGGCTAAAGGCTTCTCAGTTGTGTTGATTTTTTTTTTTTCCCCCAAACAACCAGCTTGTTATATCTTGTTGGATTATCTTCTTTATTATTATGATGTCCTTCTCTGTCTCTTGTTACAGTCTTTGTATTAAAGTGTTTTTTCCAATGTAAGTATGCTACCCTGGCTCTCTTCTAATGTCTATGTGCATGATAAATGCTTCTCCATCCCTTCGCCTTCCATCTGCAGGTGTCCTTAGATCTGAGACGAGTCTCTTGTAGGCACCATGAGATGGGTCTCGCGTTGTTATCCACTCGGTCACCCTGTGTCTTTTGATGGAAGCATTTGATCCGTTCATAACGTTCATAGTAATTGTTGATAGGTGTGTGCTTTTTGCCATTTTGTTACTTCCTTAATGGTTGTTTTATAGTTCTTCTGTGTTCCTTTCTTCCTTTGCTCTCTTCTCATGATTAGTTGGCTTTCTGTGGTGTTATACCTGGAGTCTTTTTTTTTTTTTTTAATTTTTTGCATATCTATTACTGGTTTTCAGTTTGTGGTTGTTGCTGGTTTGTATATAACACCTTCTGGGCATAGCAGTCTGTATTAAGCTGATGGTTGCCTAAGTTTGAGCCCATTCTTTTTTCCTCTCCCCACCCCCACCTTTTAGGTGTCCTACTTTACATCCCTTTACTTTGAGTCCTTTGACTGACTTTTACAGGTGTACTTATTTCTACTGCTTTTATGTTTCCTACTTTTCATACTGTCTCTTACGGTCTCTCCTTTCTGCTCAGAGTCCTCTTTAACATTTCTTAAAAGGCTGGTTTAGGGGGCACCTGGGTGGCTCAGTGGGTTAAGCCACTGCCTTCGGCTCAGGTCATGATCTCATGGTCCTGGGATCGAGTCCCACGTCGGGCTCTCTGCTCAGCGGGGAGCCTGCTTCCCTTCCTCTCTCTCTGCCTGCCTCTCTGCCTACTTGTGATCTTTCTGTCAAATAAATAAATAAAATCTTTTTAAAAAAAAAAAAGGCTGGTTTAGTGGTGATGAATTCCTTTAATTTGTTTCTCTGAGAAACTCTTCTCTGTCCTACTCTGAAGGACAGCCCTGGGAGGTAGAGTGCTGTTGGCTGCAGATGTTTCCCTTTCAGCCCTTTGGATTTGCCACGCTGCTCCCTTCTTGTCTGCATTTTCAGCTGAGAAATTAGCTGGTAGCCATGTGGGGTTTCCTTTGTATTTAACTGCTTTCTTTTGCTACTTTTAAAATCCTGTCTTTATCACCACTTTTTGCCTTTTTAATTACTAGGTGTCTTTTCTTTTTTAAGATTTTATTTATTCATTTGAGAGAGAGAGTGAGCATGGGGCGGTGGGATGGGGAGGGAGGGGCAGAGGCAGAGGGACAAGCAGACTCCATGCTGAGCAGGAGTCAAACCCAGGACCCTGACATCACGACCTGAGCTGAAGGCAGACGCTTAACCTACTGAGCCACCCGGCACCCCAATTACTGTGTCTTGGCGTGGACCTCCTGGGTTGATTTTGTTGGGCTGTCTCTGTGCCTCCTGGATCTGGATTTGTTTCCTTTCCCAGATTCTAGACGTTTTCAGCTATTATTTCTTCATATAAATTTGCTGCCTCCTTTTCTCTTTCTGGGGTGTTATTACACTTGATGGAGCCACTGAGTTCCCTAAATCTGTTCTTGTTTTGGATCATTTATTTCCCTCTCACCTGCTCAACTTTACTTTCCATGACTCTGTCCTCCAGGTCATTGATCTGTTCTTCTGCTTCCTCTAGCTACTAGTTATTCCAGCTGGTATATTTTTAATTTTGTTTATTGTGTTCTTCATCTCTGAGTGTTTCTTTCTTCCCTCCTTGTTAGGACCTTACTGATGTCCTCCACTTTTAAGTCCAGTGAGTATATTATTATTTTTTTTAAGATTTTATTTATTTGACAGAGACACAGTGAGAGAGGGAACACAAGCAGGGGGAGTGGGAGAGGGAGAAGGAGACTCCCCACTGAGCAGGGACTCCGATGTGGGGCTCGATCCCAGGACCCTAAGCGATCATGACCTGAGCCGAAGGCAGACACTTAATGGCTGAGCCGCCCAGGCGCCCCTGATGATTACTTTAAATTCTCCATCAGGCATATTACTTATCTCCATTTCACTTAGGTCTCTTGTTGTGAACTTCTCCTGTTCTTTCATTTGGGACATAGTCATTTGTCTCATTTTGTCTGCCTCTCGGTGTTTGTGTGTGTGCGCTAGGAAAGTCGGCTGTGTCTCCTGCCCCGAAGGTGGTGGACGCATGGGGAAGAGGTCCTGTCTGCCTGCAGGGCGAGTCCCTGCTCACCAGAACCTGGTGCTTCAGAGCTCTTCTCCCAATGTGCTGCGCTCCCCCCCGCCCGCCGTGTGGCTGGGCCGTGTTTGCCTGCGGTCCAGGTGTCCACGTGGCTGTTTTTGCCTGCTGTGGGCCGTGTTCGCTCCCTGTGACATCAGTGGGTCAGTCTGGGGCCACCCTGGGCTTGAGCCGGGTCAGACCGGGTGTTTGGCAGAGCTGCAGACTGCTTCTCTGCACTGTCCCCCGAGACACTTCCACGGGTGGGCAGGGCCCGCAGTCTGACCAGCTGTCTGCCGCCAGCCCGCTGTTGGGGCCACATTCAGTGTGTGCAGTTAGTTCCCCTCTCCCCGGGCAGGGGGTACTTTGGAGTGGTGCCGGCCCCTATGGGGGCAGCTTGCACAGGGCCAGGAGTGGGGTGCTTCTTTTGATGGGCTCCTGCTTTGGGGAGGGTGGATGCAACCCCCCTACTGGGTACAGGAGCCTCAGTGTTAGCAAGGTTTGTTGGGTCTTCTGGGGGAGCAGACCCCGTGCTGGGACTGAGGCCAGCCTGGCTGGAGCGTGCAGATGGGAAGCTCAGGTGAGCGGGTGGGCGCAGTGTAAGCAAATCAGTGGGTGTTGTGCTAGTTCCCCCAGGCACTGTGTGTTTGGGGGTGGGGGGGCAGTGGAGATAGCACCTGCAGGTCCTTTGTTCCTGGAGGAGTCTCTCACGATCTCTGTTTCTCCAGAGCGCTCTCTGAGGTTAGTGAGCCGCTCTCCCTCTGTATGCCCCAGGTCTTTCCAGATGCTCCTTCTGTGCTGTATCTCCCCAGGCTGTTGTGTTGTCTCTTTAATGGTGGGGACTCTGTTTTCTCTCACCCTCTCTGCTCTCCTAAAGTTGAGCCTGCTGATTTTCTACAATTCCAGGTTTTAAGTCCTACTGATTGTAAAAACTCACAAAACTCAGCCACTCTGGTTTTCAAAGCCAAATGTTATGGGGACTCAGCTTTCCACGCAGCCTCCCCCGTGCGATAGTGTGGTTCTCTCCCTTCTCTGTGCTGGCAGCTTCCTTCCTTTCATGGACAGCCCCACAGTTTCACTGAGCTCCCCGCCAGGTCTCTGCCCTGCCCGCCCTCTTTGATGTGGCCCCTTCTTCGTTGCAGAGTCCGTTCTGTCAGTCTCCAGGTCATTGTCTGCGTTACTTACACTGATGTGTTGTCTAGTTGTGCCTGCGTACGAGGTGAGCTTCCGGTCCTCCTCCTGTGCTGTCTTCCCACAGTTTGTGTGTGTGTTTGGAATTTCAGGCTAGGTTGGAACTTCTCTCTCTAGTTTATCACATTTTGGCATTCTCAGATTTTTCTTCATAGGTGGGTTGTAGAACCAGTCTACAGCAAAGACAACAGTAATCTATTGTTCTAAATCTCATTTAAATGTAATTTTTAATAAACTACACCCTCTTTTTGGGTAACTGGAAATGTGTTCACCAAAAATATTTAACTTGTGTTAGCACTTGTCTTCCTGATATAGGTCTAAGTTCCTGTTCCAAAGAGATGGGTTTCTCCTTCATATGGTGTGCATTGCCCCCAGTGAGAGCTAACCGTTTGCGCAACACACCACCCTGGGCCGGGGAGCTCCCCGTCCCTGGAGCCACCCGGGCTGTGGTTGGTAGCCAGCGGTGGCATAGCTGGCAATGGGATCCCTTTCGTGGGGGCCTGTGGTTCCGTCTACGGATGCGTGCACATTACACTGCCAGATAGTACAAGCTTGAAAATGACGGGAAGATGTTTAAGTCACAGGTTCCCAAACTTTCTTGGTTCGTGATATGTTTAGTGTCTAGTGTCTCGGGAATTTTTGCATAGGATTACTAGACCCAGAGTTTCTTTTAGGACATCGTTTCTGTGATATTACCTAACAGGTTGTTTATGAAGTAGCTAGGTCTGTTTTGCAGATGACATTGTGTTTTCCTTGAAAACTTAAAATACTCTCGGGTGCTGTGGTGCCCAGGACACCTCAGCTCACAGATCAGGAACTGTGGCTCTAAAAGCAAAAAATTCAAATTTGGTTGTATGTCCTCTGTGATTACAACTATTAAAATTTGTATACACGCAAACGAAGACTGGGAGGAAACACAAAAGTGGTTATGTTTGGCTTATAGATGATTTTTAAATATCGAAGCCCTTTTATGTCTTTTCTTCTGATCTATTCTCTGATTCTCTGGATGCTATCAAGTTTTGTTCTTAGGTCCTTTCTATAGGGAAGAGCTGTATGAACAACACAAGGCCTCTTTAAGCTCCGGGGCAATCATAGTTGGGGAATTTTACAGCTGAGGAGCCTGACCTTTTGTGATTGAAAGTAACTCTGTGTTCTCTTTTAGGACCACAGAGTGTTTTGGCTGATTACAGGAATCATGTTTATGGGAAGCGGCCTCATCTGGAGGCGTTTGCTGTCATTCCTGGGACGACAACTAGAAGCTCCTCTACCTCCCGTGGTATGAAGGGTCTGGGTTGGTGCAGTGTAGTCAAGGGGCTGATGTCTGGTTCTGCGGGCACACCGACTGCCTGGGCTGGTGGTGTCCCCGGCTTCGTGACCCCGAGCGAGTTCTTTCATTCCCACATCCGTCGGTGGCACCAGTACCAGCGGTTGGAAAGCGCTTATTCCAGTGCCGCACCTGGCACGGTGCCGGCTCAGTCCCCCGTGCTCAGTGCCTCACTCTGTGATGAGCTTTCTGCCCTTAGATGTTGGCAGTTCTGCTGCAGGCTTTGTCATAACCCAGACTGAAACATAGAAGACATGGTGTCGTCATTAAGAGAAAAGGTTGACCCTTTCTTTTTCCTTTCCACACTCCGTTTACACCGGGAATGAATACTTAGGGTACTGACAGGGGCTTCTAGCCTCCCATCTGCTAGTTACCTCTGCTTTTACTTGTGGCATTTCCTTTAACACACACACAGACTAAAATGAGTCATTGTTCTGCTTTATTTAGATGGCCTCTTTACCCAAGAAGTCCCTTCAGGCGGACAGAAGGATGGAAATGAAGCACAGCTTCCGGCCAGACGGGCTCGGCTCAGGCAAGAGTGTCCTGACAAACCGTTAGAGACATCAGCCCAGGAGAGACTGGGTTACTTTTTGTGGTAGTCACGGGAAGCTTCTGGTACTCTTTCATTATTTTCTTTTATAGAGTCAGAGACTTGAAAAAAATCACTAAAATTACAGTGTCTGATGATAAAGATACCATGGCACTCCGTAATGCTAGAACTTCTGCATTTTCAAAATTGAGGAAAGAAGCAAAGGATATGCTTTGTAAAAGGCCAAAATTCTATTTCCCACAACCTTAAAATGCTGTTTTTTATAGATGTGATGTGAGAATAGATTGTTGTGTAGATTTTCTGATTTACACGTGTCTCAGGCCAAGCAAAGCCTGAAAACTTGACAAGCCCACAGTGACGAGCTCGGGTAGCAGTAGTTCTTACTAAGGGGATCATGTTCTTGGGAGCTTCCTGACTCGCAGGTGACTGGAAAGGCAGGAAAAAATACATACTAACCTTAGAACAAACTCTGAAAGTTTGTGCTTTAAACCAATCTTTAACATACTCTATTTTCTTGTCTTTTTTATATAAGGCAAATAAAAAGGAAATGATTAACTAGAATCCATTTAAGCTGATATTAAATCAATATTTTATTCTCTTGACTCCTGAAACACTTTTTCTCTGCTTGGCTACAGTGGAAACCTTTGGAAGTAATGTTGAAACTGTTTCCATTTTGTTACTGTTTTTTAGGTCTGGAGTAGAGTAGATGACTGAGTAGATGGAGGTGTCCCCTCAGCCACTCCCATCCCCAAAAAAGAAAGTGTATGGAGCCCAGTTAATCTGTATGCCTACGCCTCAGAGCTTGACAGGGGGCTTCCTAAACCAGAAGAGTGGCCAGAGCTGCTCTGCTACTACAAACGTAATAGTAGTAAAGCCCGTGCGCTGACAGTGTTGGGGTTATCTGATGCCGTAATAGGATGGCAAAGGAGGAAGTTTGGGAGTCCATTCACCAAGTGGTTTGGTGAAGAGAATAAAAATGCTGTTCCAGTAGCAGATTTGAGAGAAAACAGAGTTGCTAAGTAGTTTCCCTGCTCCCCTGTGTGGTTAGAAGAAGCCACTAGAAGCTGGCACATACGATGACCCAGGCTGGGTTGGTCTCAGCATGGAGTGGCCCACTTGGCACCTCCCCGTGGGTCAGGGACACGCTTTGAGGTATGGGTGTCAGAGTGAGGCTCTCTCTCTCTCTAGCATCATAGATGTGTGTGATGACTTTCAAAACAAAGTATCTTTGATAGTCTTCCGATTCCATGGGACACTGTCATACCTCAGAGCACTGCTGCTGTTCTTGATCTTAGGGAATCACTGGACATAGGTTAGAAATAGGACTTCACTGTAACGGGAAAAACAAAGCCCAAGGGGCTTGACTCCAGTCAGGCACAGAAATAGAATTTTGGCCTTTTTCCTTCTGGTGTGACTTACTTAGTTTGTAGACTTGAATAAAAAAATTTTTTTTTTCAGGAGTCCTGTTTCCTCAATCAAAGGGAAACGTAACTACCTCTTAAGTCTGATGCAGAGAAGTGACGGGTGGTTTATAAAGTTCTTGAAGGTGGTTAGATCAAGGAGGATTTCAAAATGTCAACTCACTCTGCTTTGTGGATAGCAGGATGCTTCTTACCTAAGAAGTTAGGCGATTTTAAACTTTGACTTAAAAATGATTGAGCACAAGTGTTTCGTTATGTGAGTGAGCAAGCAGTCTCATCCCCCGTTTAACAAGGTCAAGGCATGAGATTCTTAATAGACTGTTTTTGGAAGGCCTCTAAGGAAAGGTGGCAGAAGATAGCACAGACTGTGAGAAATAACCACTAAATAAAAAGCTGTTGGTCTCGTTATTCCAGGAGTTGTACATAGCTTTATTTTTGGAGCTACAATATTTAATACACTTTAATCTCAGGATTTACTTTCCCTACTTTAGTAATACCTATGGAGGTGGTCTGAGGGATGGTACGTGGACAGGGCATTCGGAGATCTGAGCTCATTGCCGGACTTACTCCAAATCCCTTTAGGTCTGTTTCACAGGCATGAAACCATTTTGATCTTAAAGCAAGTTTTGTAATAGAAAAATTGCAAATACATACATGTGTTTTGATATCTTTGAAATAAAGGTCATGGAATTAAGTGCAGAGTTGTGTTAATGAGAATAAAACCCTACAAGGTATTTGTTGTTAACCATTTCAGAACCTGTGTTTAGAACTATAGCTAATACTTAGCGTGAAAACAGCCCACCTACGGGGCTAACGCACAGACTGTACAGGCCGGCGTGTACGGCTCTGCCATCCAGGGTGACCTTCAGGAGTAGGAATACCACTTTGCACTTTTGAGTGTGGGATTATGCAGGTTAAGGATTCTGGATAAGATCCTATGTGAGAACCTGGTTCGGTCTGGTGTGTCTAGACACTGAGAGAAATGTCCGTCCTTGGGTAGAAGATGGTTGTGCGTCAGCACAGGCCCGCCCTCTCAGCTGAGGCAGCAGCCCCTTGCTCCAGCCATGGCGGTGTGAGAGAACACAGACTTCTGAGGAAGAGGGCCAGCACTCACAGACCTCTCAACGCGTAAATGAAGCTAGTTAAGGAATTCTGGCCCCTAAAAGTAAACTTCAACTAAACATAGTTATTTCACACGAGTTGAGCTACCACTCATTGTTACCCAAATGAAACCAAATGTGCTGTTCCCTAGAGATGCAGCGGCTAGCACCTGTCCGGAGGAAGGATGACAGTCCCCACAGTCATCGCGAGGTACGCCCGTTGGTCCCCCTCTTCCCTGCCTTTATGCTCAGTGTTAACTCACAGAGCGTTGCCGTGATTTCTACTTTGACTCCTTAGCTGGATTCTATCTTTGAACCAGTCTCAACGCTGCCTCTAGGGAAGTTAAAAAGGGATCTTGTCATCGGTTACTTTTCTCTACTGTTAGAGCCAGGAGGAAGAATGGTTCCTCCCTGATGGCTGCAGGATCCCTAAGAATGGCTTCACATGTTTAGTGAAGCCAGAGCCTGTGGCAGATGCCTTCCCCCCAGTGTCCCCACCTGCAGGCCTGGCCGATGTACGCTCCACCAGTCACCAGTCAGCCCCGGAACCGAGGAAGCCAAGACATGCTTCTCTCTGCTCGCTCTCGCGCGGTGGCCTCCACCCGGAGCTCTACGGGGCGAGTTTTGTGGGCACGGCTTGTGCCAGCCCAGTGCGACGAGGGCTTCTCTTGGGAGGACACAGAACCAGTGGAGTCACTGGGTTCAGCTGTTAGAACAGCCGCTTCTACAAAAGCAGGGGAGGGCACCAACAGGAGGTTTTAGTTTTGTATTAGTCGTTCACTCTGTGAAACCCTGGAAATGCCGCAGTTCTCATAAGGACCCACTCGCTTCCAGCAGGTGACTGGAGTGGCAAGGCTCTCCCGCACCCCCTCTGCTCACCGGACTGTTGCTCTGCCCACTCTGTCCTGTACGCTGTGCTTTCTGTTCCATTTTGATTGGAATGAGTCACCAACTTTAAAGGACATTTTAGGAGAAACTGTGACAGATTTTCCTAAGAGCTAACTAAGTACAGAGAAGCCTTTCTAGGCATCAGAAGGACATAGGTATGGTGTGGAAAGGGCAGCGGTCATACAGCAGGGCTGAGGCCAGGCCAGAAGCTGGGAGTAAGTTTCAGTACAGGGGAAGCAATGGAGGAAACCTGGGAAGGGACACGAGGCAGCAGAGTATCTGTCGTCGTCCACTGGTTCGTAGTCCCCCCCACCCAGGCCTGTCTCCACTCCAGGAGTCCCACTTCTAGCAGGATCCGCCCGGCTCCCCTGGAGGTGCCCCTTTGTCCACCAGAACGCTCACCCTGGCGAGGACTCGGCCCAGAGAGGGGACGCAGAGGAGGAAGAGGTGGCGAGGTCTTTACTCAAGGCCCAGGCTGTAGACGTGCAGGGCCCCGGAGAGTCGGGCTCCCAAAGAGCTCCTCCCAGCAGCGACGACCACTTGGTTCTGTAGAGGACACGAGACAGTATTGTTCATCACGCCCGTGAAGTCCCTGCCCGAGTCCAGGCACCTTGCTGTGCTCCGGTGGCACAGAGATGGGGACATGGGGTAAGTGCCATGAGGGTTCAGAAGTGTGGACTGAGGCGGCTCAGGTGCAGGCTGAGTCCCAACTCCATCCCGGCCCTAATCGGCTCGCTGCGGGAGGTCAGTGAGCGGCCGTGCTCCTCCTCCTCAGACTGTCTGTGTCCACTCCGCAGCGGACCTGGACTCGGGGCTTCACGCCACAATCCCAGGGAGCTGGGCGAACTAACTGGAGTGTCCACCTCGGTGAACTATTCTGAGAAAGGCGGACTTGCACTGTTAAACAGCAAAGAATCAACTGCCAGTTTCTTACAATCTACAGCACCTCGCAGCTTGTGTAAGTCATGGCGGATGTATAATTCACGGGTTCTTGATAATATCTAACTTTTTGGAAAATGAATTTTAAGTGTAAGGCAAGCTTACGATGTAATCTGTCACCAGACCTTTTGAGAATCCTCCCACAAATTTAGTAATCCATCTTTTTTGTTCTAGGTAACCCTACATTTTGCTCATCAGTCTTGCCTAGAAATGGAGTCAGACAAGGGCCACTTGAACTGTGGGCCACAAGAGGGCAGTGTCCCCCAGCGCCAGAACGCCAGGGCCAGCTGTGCGGCTGCTGGTCCTGTCCCTCTCCTCTTTAGCCCTTAGTCCCGCCCTGATGGGCATTTCCCTCTCCTTCCCGTGCGTGTAGACCGTGTGCTTCTCAAAGGTATGGCTTTGTCTCAGAGCCTGCACGGTTCTGTGCGATTCCGATTCCAAAGTAACTGAATGGGTTCGGTTGGTCTAGCTGCAGGGTGGAAGATAAAACCCTTTCACTGCTCTGTCCATTACAAAGTGTGCAGACCCTCTGCTTAGCGATCTTCCAAAAACAGCAGCAGGGATATTTGCATAGTTATATAAAAATATAGTTGTGCAAGAATGCTCACGATAGTAAATAAATTGGAAATAATGGAGAAATAACAGTAAAGATCTGGGAAAAGTGAGCGGAACAAGACAGTGCGTGGGGACAGTCCCCTGCAGCGGCAAGCAGCTGGCCCCGCCTGTGTCTGCGGGAGAGGGAGCGCGATACGGGAGCCCGTGAGCGGGACCAGTGGGAGAGTGCGCGTGCGCATGGTGTGCCCCAGAGGCCTGCAGCGACTCCGCAGTCTGGAAGGAAACACTAACAGTGCTCAGCTGACGTGGCAAGGGTTTGCCCACGCTCCCCTGAAGGCCCAAGTCCGTATTCGAACGTGAGGCTTCGCGGGGCAGCAGCCGCCACAGACGTGCAGGGCCGTGGCCCAAGGAGACTACGGACACTGAAGTTTAAACTTCATATAAATTTCACGTGTCATGAAATAGCCTTTTTTTTCCAACCATCTAAATGAATCCTTTTTAGTTCACAAGCTATACAGAACTCGAGGCGGCCCACAGGCTGGAATTCGCTAGGTCCTGCCGTGGGGGATGAAACCGGGAGAGCGATGGGACGGTGTGTGGAGGTTCCTTGTGTGTGTGTCTGTCTCAGACAAAAGCTGAACGACGAAATGAGATCATCCCACCCCAGCCTTAGCACGGAAACTTCAGGAGCGCCGTCTTCACCCTCACCTTGTCTTTAGACCTCACAGTGACCACAGAGCTCCCAAACCTTGAACTTGCCTGTAAAATGGGGAAAAAAACACCAGATTTTATCAGTTTAAATTAAGGAAAAGAGCACTTCCATGGTTTTCCTCATTCCTACAGGAAGTACTTACCTCAGGAGAAACCAGTACGTATTGGGCCTGAAAGGAAAAGGGGAGCAGGGGACCGGTTACTGTCTGTGTGGATTTAACGGACGCCCCACACGCACACCTCTGCACGCGAGACGGGCCGGGCCCGTGCTGCCCTCAGACACCAGCAAGTCACCTCACAGGAACTTAACAAAGCAGATGTAGTCACATATATCCTCACTTATAGTTCACTTATAAATTCGTTTACAGTATAATTCCCACTGTATCTTTTTTATAACACTGGACTGAGGTAGACTCAGGGACTGATAACAGCTACGGATGTTTACATAAACGTGGCTTATCTGCAGATAACCCGGAGGCAGCCGGGACAGTTGCCGCGGGAGAATGGAAGCGAGCGTGAAAAAGCCACGGGAGAGACCATCGCCTTACAGAGTATGTACAGCGGCTCCGTTATACAATATACCCACACCCAGTGTAATGACAAAGAGTGCGTTTCGGGTGCAGGTCCCTGTCCTTTCATTTCCGAGCACTGTGACCTAGAGCACCTTCCTCGGGCATAGTGCCAACGTACCAGCGCTGACGTGGGTCAGAGGTGGCCGGGCAGGGCGGGGGAGCTGTGCCGTGCTCCGCACAGTGCTAGGCGCAGAGTAAATGCACAGTAAGCGGTAGCCATGGAGGTCGGGAAAATATACCAGAAGGATGCACATCGAAAGGTTAATTATTTCTGCAGCGTGCAATTCTAGGTAGATGATTTTTGAATTTTTAAAAAGAAATTTTGTACCATATTTTCTACAATTTTACAATAAATTTTAATTTTGCAACTAAATAGTTTTTTAAAATAATGGGTGTTTTATGCTCAGGGAACTTAAGGAAACCCACCTGAGACAAGGAATAAAAGCAGTGAAATGGGCACCTGAGTGGCTCAGCAGTTAAGCGTCTGCCTTCAGCTCAGGTCATGATCCCAGGGTCCTGGGATCGAGCCCCACCTCAGGCTTCCTGCTCAGCGGAGTCTGCTTCTCCCTCTGCCCCTGCTCTCTCTCTCTGTACTCTCTCAAATAAAAATCTTTTTAAAAAGGCAGTGAAACGGAAATTAGAGTGTGCGTTTTAACGAGAGTGCAGTGGCCCGGGCCTGTTTTCCTCTGCTGTGGGCTCCCACCCAGTGGTGGCAGGGTGTGACCAGAACCAGTGGGACACCATGTCAGCTAGACTTGAGCCACGGGGACAAGCGCTGCAGACCTGCAAGAAGGCGGGGCCACTTGGCCTACAGAAACAGACCGTGATGGTGTCCTGACCGCACACAGTCCCGGCAAAAACTCTGGGATCCGCAGTGGACATGACTACAAGGCTTCGTGGGCACCCGCCTTTCCCAGCATGGCATGAACACCTTACCTTTTCTTCAGGACACGGAGCCGTCCATGATTTGCATCTGCCTGTCATGTCACCAAAGGTGATGTCTTTGCCATTATATACATACACGCGGCCATCTTCTCCCCCCATCAGTCCAGAGGTGACATCTGTTATCCTCAGGGGGGCTGCCACGATGACTTCATCTGCAAGCAAGAGAGACCAGAAGGAAGTATGTCCCCCTCACTGTCCTTTCCACTGCCCCTGCTGGGTCCCAGCCCAACCTCCCACAAGTCGGATTAGTGCATCCTTCACCGGGTCTACCCTGCGCTCATCCCCGCCCAGCAGAGGCGCGCTTTCCTAGTTTATCCTCCATCGGTGACAGCGGATGTGGGTGGCTCTCATGTCACCGCCTTCAGGAAGTCCAGCTCAGTTGGCTCTGGTCCTGCCGGACTCAAAACAGTTGTAAAGGCCGTCGGGCCACTGAGCTGCCCGTGTGAGGGCGGAGGCTACATGATCCAGTTAGGGGACTGGTCTGTTGAGTAAAGGGATTCGATTCTGAGCCAGAGGCCCGTTCCTTTCCCACCTAAGCCATCGCCGTCCAGGTCACTCAAGTGCAGGACCCCGCCAAACCGAGAGAAGCGGCGGTCCCCGCTGAAGGTGCTGAGCAGAGCAGGCTGGGCGTCGGGGGTCAGCTCGTACATCCGAGTGGTTCCGCCTTGGTGCAAGGTCATGGTCAGGAATGCCATTCTGGACACCTCATCTGAAATAAACCAGGGCACACTGTCTGCTGCCATCCCAGGAACGAAGAGAAGACACAGTCCCAGCCTTGCTTCAGCCTTCCATGCTCCGGTGACACGACGGCGCAGAACCGCACAGGGCGGGCATTTGTAGTGGGAAGGTCCAGCTGGCTGGGGCACGGAGGCCCAAGCGACAGCCACACTCAGGGCTCCCCCACCTGACAGCTCTGACCCACACAAGCGTCTTAGTTCTAACACTAGGTCCCTCAATCCTTCCAGTGACCTCATACCTTCGCAAAACTGGGATTTGGGGATTATAATAAAATGCAGGTACCATGAGAAAATCCACGTGGATTGAAAATGAGGATGGAACTGCCTGATCGGATTCCAGGTTTGAGAACAGGTGCGGTGCCCAAAGGGAGCCACGTTGTTGGGACACAAATTCAACCTGTGCAGGACAGTCACACCAGGCCCCATACTTGGCTTAACACTCTCCAGTCACCAACGTGAAAATCTGATTAATCTTGCAACAGAGGGGCCCTGGGCGGCTCAGTCAGTAAAGCGTCTGCCTTCTGCTCTGGTCACAGTGCCAGGGTCCTGGGTTGGAGCCTCGCATCGGGCTCCCTGCTCGGCGGGGAGTCTGCTCCCTCTCCTCCCTACCTGTGCTCTCTGCTGCTCTCGCTCACTCGCTCTCTAAAAATCTTAAAAAGGCAACCACCTCGGATGTGAAAGCTTCAGGGTGCTTGTCTATGGAAAGCTCAGAACTGCCTGGACCTGTTTCTTGGGGGGGAAAAACTTTTTTTTTTTTTTCCCCAACAGAGGGCTCTGCATTTCTGTTTTGTACCAGGATCCACAAATTATGTGGGTGAAATCTACGCAAAATGCAAGTGCAATAGGAAAATCTGAACAAGATTCGAGCGGTGGATGTATCGGTGTCAACAGCCCGGCTGGGACCTGCCGTGGTTTGCGGTATTATCTTGAAAAAAAACTGGATAAAATGGGACATGGATCTCTGTATGATTTCTTACTATCGCAGGTTCATGAGAATGGTCTCGAAATGGTTGATCTCCGGGGGCATTTGGGGGCCTCAGCTGGACAAGCTGCCAACTCTTGGTTTCCTCTCAGGTCGAGATCTCAGGGTCCCGGGGTCAAGCCCCACCCTTGGCTCTGTGCTCAGTGGGGAGCCTGCTTGTCCCTCCCCCTCTCTCTCTCATAAATAAAAATAAATATTAATTTGTATAGAATACAGATCTCTAAATTAATCTTTTTATATTTCATATAGTATTCTGAAACAGGAAAATACTAAGACAGGAAAAACATTAAAACAAAGTCTGCACAGCACTGCAGTGGAAAGAGAAGTGAAGCAAATAAAACCACTAACAGGTGTTGCAAGAGTTTGGTAATCACCAGCTAGTCTCTGTGAAAGGGGGAGAAACCCCAACTACTCCAAGGCTAAGTCAGCAAGTTTCCGGGGTTGCAATGCTGTGTCCTTAATCATGCAGTGAGAAAATCTCGTCATTCAGGGGTGGCTGGCCGGTGCCGTCCCCAGAGCACGCACCCCTTGATCTCCGGGGTCGTGAGTTCAAGCCCCACGCTGGGTGTGGGGCCTAGTTAAAATGATAGAAAGAAGAGAAAAAAATCTAGCCATTCCTGTACCCAATCCACTCTGCTTATTATTCTAATGTTGTGTGACACAAACACCTTCCTGAAAAATAACTTGACGATATGTAAGAAGAGCCTTGCTGGTAGCCCCTCCAGCCCAGTTCTTCCTCCAGGAGGCTGTTTTAAAAACTATTCAGGAGGCAGAGTTTTCCGTACATCGATGTTCGATGCCAGGAGCAGCCTGAATTTCCAGCAACAGGATGGTGGTAAAAGTTGACATGTGCACATGGGAGCAAATGTGATCGGGATCGAAAACCACACTGTAGAATCAGTACCATGAGGACACGCTCAGGGCATACGATTTAAAAATTACTTATGAAAACGTATACACACACATATATATAGTATGAGCTTAAGTTTTTAAATATTTGGAGAAGGGGCAATTTCTAGCTACGTCTGTATTTTCACAAATTTCTACAATAAGCATGATTCACTTTGATCATCTTCAAGGGAGTAGGTTTTGTTTTGTTTTTAAGATTTTAGTTCGAGCAAGCGAGCGAGTGAGCGTGAGCAGAGAGAGAGGAGGAAGCAGGCTCCCCGCTGAGCAGGGAGCCCGATGCAGGACCCGATCCCAGGACCCCGGGATCATGACTTGAGCCCAAAGGCAGACACTTAACCAGCTGAGCCACCCAGGGGCCCGAAGGGAGTAAGTTTTTGTTGGCTTCTTCAAACTCTTTCCCATAAAGTAAATAAGATAATGGCTTGTTAACACATGTCCTTAGAAGACCTAGTCCTAGAACTGACTCGGGATTTTCTGAGCCTCCCTCTCGTTCTAAGCTCAGCGGGACAGGAGATTTAAAAACACAGTAGGTGACTTTCCGGAGGGACTGTCAACTCTCTGAGGTGGATCATAATCAGCATTTTGCAGATGATGATACTAATGTTCCGGGAGGTTAAGTAACCTCCCCCAGGAGGTTCTCATAACCCCCAGGTTATGAGAAAAGCAAATATTCACAATCAGGTTTGTCTGGCTCCAGATGTCACAACACTCCCCCCACAGGACAGGGTCAGGGAGCCACCGGACTGAAACGCAGCCAAGTCTCGCGGTGCGTGACCTACCGCGAGTCGGGGCTCCAACCAGCAACACCTGTTTCCGGGTCCCGTTCACCAGCACGTGGCCACTGGACAGGGAGGCCCCCAGCTTCTCCATCGCCTGTGAAGGGCAGTCAGTCAACACTGTGCGGCCCCAAAGACGGCAGGGTGCCCCGGCTCCCGCGGAGGGAGCGGCGGCCGTACCTTGTCTCCGGAAATGGTAAACGAGCTTTGGCAATTTGGGGGCAGAAAGCCGTACACCCGACCGAGGCTCTGTTTCTCGTCGTGAGCGCGGAACTGGGGGGCCAGGCTGGAACGAAGCACACACGGGCGGCGGGGGGAGCTGGCCACGTATTCCGGCCCCAGCAAAGACGAGCTCCCCGTGCCCCTGCCCGGCCCCGGCCCTGTGATCCTCGGGGCAGCAGCGCTGGCTGTCCGGGGTCCCAGTACGAAGACCCCCCACGCGAGGCTCGCCGCCCCGAGAGCGGCCACAGGGAGACCCGCGGCCACGCGCTCGGTCGTGTTCCGCCAGAGCCCACGGGTTGGATCCTAACCCCACACCTCAGAATGCACGTTTGGAGAGCGGGTTTTCAAAGAGGCAACCGTTACGCTGGGGTCCCTGGGGTGGGGCCCTAATCCAATGGGACTGGTGTCCTCGTAAGAACAGAAAGACACCAAGGACGGGCACAGGGAGAAGGAGAGGGGTCTCCAAGGTGAACGCCACCGACGTCGACCTCGGATCCCTGGTCTCCAGAACCGGGAGAAAATGCGTTCCTGTGGCTTCTGCCACCAAGTCATCGGAGCCCTGGAGGACCCTTCCTCCTCCCTCCTCCCTCGCTCACGTTTCAGCTTCTAAGGAGAAGGCTCTTGCTGCACAGCCATAGCTGTTCCTCGCCGGGGGGGCGGGGGGGCAGCGGGGGGGTACTCGGCCCCTCTGCGCACCCCCCGCAGGCTCCCGCAGCAGCAGGCACCTGCCCCTCACGCCCCTGGGTCCCTGGGCCCCCAGGAGCGCTCACCCACTGGTGTTCCTCCAGGTCGGGCTCCCCACCAGCAGCACGCTTCTGTTGCTCACGCGGAGCCCGTGGAGCGCGTAGCCGAGCCAGGAGAAGTCCGCCTCGCCCCGCACCGTCCAGTTGGCCGCCTCCACGCCCAGCTCTTCTACAGAGACAACCGGCGCCTTTTACCTTACGTGGCGGGGCGGGCAGAGTCTGTCAGAGCTCCTGTGTACCCCCAGCTGCTCCCAGGGGGCCCCCGTGTCAGACATGGAGCCCACACTTCATAGGAGAAGTACACTTCTGGAGCCCACGTCTGGGGGGTAGAGGATGCGATACAAAGGGAGCCCCCCTCCCTGCCGCAGGCCGGGGCATCACTGGGATGCCTTCCGTGGAAAGCCTCTGCCAACAACCTGCTGGCCCCCTCTGCATCTGGACCTGGACGTTGGACCCCTTTTTGTCTATCCAGGGACTCTCTATCACCCGGATGATAAAGGTACATGCTCAGGTATCTTAGCTGCAAGAGGAAGCGCGATCAGAAAATTCAGACGAAACGAGAGTGGAAGGAGGGAGAAAGGACAGAAGCCCCTAGGCACGAGGGCAGACCAGACCGGAGCAGAGAGGTCTCCAGCCCTCCCTCCCCGCCACACAAGCACTACCTTTGTGGCTCCAGCTGGGGTCGGAATAAAACGCAGCCACCATGCCCTTCTGTTTCCCTCCGCCTGGGGCGAAAGGGGAGCCCATGACCAGATCAGGCTCGCCGTCTCCGTTCAGGTCTGCGGCCACGAGCGTCCAGCCCAAGTTACAGTACGTGTCCTGCAGGGGAAGCCGGAGAGCACATCCCGTTCAGAGGCGGACGGCCGGAGGCGGCAAAGTCTGGCCCGCAGGACTGGCCGCGAGGGGATCCCCGTACCCGGCAGGAGATGGTGACGTTAGGGCTGGAAGACATTCCTCCTCGTCTGGAACCGAAGTAGACGTACACCGCACCCTAGGTGAAGGCAAGCCATGGGGCGGTCAGAGGCAGGGCTGGTGACCCGGGAAACTCAGGTCGCAGCAGAAGAGACAGGGTGACGAGGATCTAAATCCCCCCGAGCCCATGGCCAGGGCTCAGCAACAGACAGAAACCGGTCCTGTGTGTGTGCCGCTGGGCTGAGGTGGTTTTTACAACTGCCACTTGCATCAGCATTGAAGTCCCCAATGCTGAAACGGTCACTCCTGTCCTTGCCCGCCGTGCACACTAGCTCAGTGCACCAGCTGGACAACCGCTTGCCTCCCTGCGCGAGGCCTTCCCTGACCCGGCCCACGATTACTCGAAACATGCCATGTGGCCAGCGTCCACAGCAGACGCATGTGCACCATCAGGCTCTGTCCCAAACCAGCTCCTGTCTTGTAACTTGCTGGCCTCTGTCCTCCCTCGGGAAGCATCTATGTTCCACCACGAGCCAAGGGCAGGGAAGACCATGATAAATAAGACACACTCTGTCCTCCCGAAAAGCGGCCCATGGACAGTGACACCACGGCATGGAAGGTACTAGAGTAGGGGTGGAGGCTGCAGTGTGAGGACAGGCAAGTGTGACCTAGACCAGAGACTGCCGACAGCGGGTGCCGTGTTGCTCCTAAAGGAAAAAGGCAAGAAGACCTTCCAGGGGGAGGGATCCTCTGAGCCATGTCCTCGAGTGAGGGGGCCTGTGGGCCCAGAGACGACAGATGGCTCACAGTCTAGGAGCGCAGAGTGAGGACATGGGCACAAAGGCGAGCTTGTGGCAGGCAGAGAGTGATAAAGGGCCTCTGACCTTTGGGGTCACACAGGATCTGAAGCCGGTGCCCTACCGTGTGCGGGGTACACACAGACGAGAGCCTGTGCTGCAGGAAACAGGGACCAGGGAGGTCACCGCTCTGCTGTGATGACGGGGCTCTCGAGGGCCTGGAACCCCCATCCCCTCACTACCACTCAGTAGCCTGTGGGGGAGGGGAAGGAGTACAATTTCTGGGGTCACCAGGAAATGCAGGAGGCCAAGTGGAGGCCAGGGAGGAAGTAGGCACTGCCAGGCAACCCAAGGTCACGTCAAGGACCCCAACTGGGGGCCCGAGATCATCTCCCCACAAATGCCGGCCCGGCACATCCGGCTGCCTGCTGTTCATGGAGGCTCCACCCGGCCCCGGCCTGCCCCTCCCCGACGCCCCCTCTCCCCCGGCAGCGGCAGCCTTACCGTGTAGGCAAGCTTCTCGGAGCCCACCGATGGCGCACCCACGGCCAGGTCCAGCACGCCGTCCTTGTTGAAGTCCAGCACGGCCAAGGCCGAGCCAAACCGACCTGAGGGCTGAAGGGGCACCAGTGACCTCCGGGCTGAGCCACAGCCTTCAGAAGAGCACGCGACTCCCTGGGAGTCCAGGGGACCCGGGCACCCGACCCAGAAGCCGAGGGCCAAGGGCCAAGTCCGCAGCGACTGGAACACATCTGCACCCGCCCGCTGGGTGGCTCGGCCCCAACAAGGTTTCGGGCACGTCTGTCTGCTTGGAGGGGAAGACCAGGTGCCAGAAAGAAAAGGGTCCGTTCTCACAAGTTCTAGGTTTTTCGAAAATGGTCCCCCACGAAGGGCCAGACTCCCTTTGGAAAGTGTCCAAAATGAGAACCCCATACACCAGCAAGCACGGCCACCACATTCGGAACGTTCTAGAACCACCCCGTGCAACGTGGGGGCCACCAGCTAAACGCGGCTGGATTAGCTGAAGTCGCGTTAAACCAACAACTCAGCTCTTCGGTTGCGCTGGGTCCTCAAAGCCCCCGCGGCCCACGGCCCTCCGACGGGACGGCACAGCCGCAGAGCGGTCCCGTCGGGCAGAGAATTCTGTGGACGCCGCGCTTGGCCCGACCCGCACGGGGCAGGTCCGTTTATTATCCCCGCTCGCGCGGTTACAGATGGGAAACCCAGCCCGGGCGGGGACCCTTCCTTCTGAGGTGGGTTTTCTCCGTCCTCCATCTCCTGCTCTCTAGAATCGGCCTCGACCGAAAGCCACTCACTCGGTCCTCCTGATCTTTCACAACGGAGAGAACAAAGAACGGTCTTGCACAAGTGGAGGTTTGCCCCACTCGCGCACACACGCCCCAGAACCCGCAGCAGTTGCGGATTGGCCAATCGTGCCGCGCCTCTGTGCGATGGCCTCTACGGAGACTGTCCCCTCCCGCGAGGCGGGAACCTGATAAACCAGAAAGGGCTGCTCCGGCCACAAGGCAAGAAGGGGCACCGGCCAGCTGAGGCCAGCCTCGTTTCGTCATCGCAGCTGCACCCCAGGGCCTCCCCCGGGTTAACCCGTGGTTCCTCGACAGGCACAGGATCTCCTCCTTCCTCCATCGGGGCCACAGCCGGGCTAAGCACAGGCCACGGCTAAGGACAGGGCGCTACCCTGGCCCACGCCTTCAGCCGGCCACTGGCCACGTTACCCACGGTCCTTGGGAGGAGAGAGCACAGAGCTGCCGCCTCCTGGTCCCCGTCTGAGGGAGCGGACCACCCTCAGACAGCGGCTGCCTCCTCCCTCCTGGGCTGCAGGAGCCCAGAGGATTAGGTTTTACCCAACAGTCCGACAGGGGCTTGGCTTCGAGGAGCAGGGGCGCCTGGGGGCCCAGTCGGTTGAGTGGTCCCAGGGTCCTGGGATCGAGCCTCACACTGGGCTCCCTGTTCGGCCTGGAGCCTGCTTCTCCCGCTGCCTGCCGCTCCCCTGCCTGTGCGTTCTCGCTCTCTCTCGCTCTCTCTCTCTAGTAAATAAATAAAAATCTTAAGAAAAAAAAAAAAAAAAGGAGCACCTGGAATGGGTAGACTTATTTTGGAATGTTCTCATGTGGTGGCAGATTCCAGAAAACACTGCCCCTCCTAGACGGTGGAACGTCACATGTGGCTGCCAGCGGAGGATCGCCTGTCGGACTCAGGGCTCCCCCGGCCCGTCGGTAACCCCGTACCTCCCGTGGGTCGGGGCCTGTGCACGCAGGTCGTCTCGCTTTGTCCTCGCAGCATGAACTCCACAGCAAAAGCTTTAGCGGTTTCCCCGCAGCAGAACCACCATCTGACCCGCAGTCCAGCGTGCCGTGCCCTGCTGCTTGCTCCCGGAACACGCCGTCCCACCAAGGCCCCCGCGCTCGCCTGTCACCGGTCACAAGGCGCCTGCCCTCCCTCCTGCCCTTGTGAGGACTAACGCCAGTCACTCCCGACGAAACCCTTCCAGGTCCGTGGTGCGCCGGGAGGCCCTGACCCTGACCCCACGCCGAGCATTCCTCCCACGGTCGCTGTGGGGTTTTCCTGGGGACGCGTCACCACTTGAAACCGGGGAATGAAATCTGAGTGAGGTCTGGGGTTCGGGCAAGAGTCACGCACCTGTGTCGGTTTCTTAATTCCGACACGTTGCCACCAAGGTTACGTGAGCCGTTACCTTAGGGGAAACTGAGGGGAGGGCGTTTGGGAACTCTGTTCCAGTGAGGACAGGAGGAGGCTTTTAAACAGGACAGGCGTCCACAGAGGGAGGCCACCAGCATGGCTGCTCCTGTCATCCTCGGCACTGGCCGCTTGCTCTGAGGAGCGCAGCGCACTGACGCGAGAAGGGGGACTTGGGGACAGACGCCTCACCTGGAAACCCTCCAGCGTCACGTGGGCCTCCTTGTCGAGATCCAGGTCGATGGGGGGCAGCCCCAGCTCGTTGCCGTAGAGGAGGTACACGCGGCCGACCTGGGGGTGGCCGGGGCGGCTGTAGCCGGGGGCGCCCACCACCAGGTCCCCGTGCCCATCCTGGTTGAGGTCAGCCGAGGTCAGTGCCCTGGGGGAGGGAGAGAGAGGCCCACCCCGTGTCTGCAGAGAGCCATGCTCCCCGCAGACGGTCGCCTGCTTCTCTCTAGAGCCCACGGCTTGAGCTCCCGCTTGTTGAGTTCTCCCCCCCGCGTGACCGTGGAGAACACCCCTCCTGCCGCTATCTTGTCTTTGGGATTGGGTCTTGCTCTCCAAGAAACACAACAGCAGCAACACTGGACACGTTAAGGGCTCTGGGCATTTCTGAACTGTATGACCCGAGCAGGAGAAAAGCATCTTCACGAAGCATCACGTTCTGTGCAAACCCACAGCCACCACGCAGGACCCTGGGCTCCCAGGGGACAGACAGGAAGTCTGCTTTCGGGCGGGGCAGGAAACAAACGGAAGAGAAAGGAGCCCGAGACCCACGTGCGTTAAGCACCCCGTGGCACTGCTGCCACGGCTGCCCGGGGTTCCTTGTACTGTGAAGAGATGAAATGCTGAACGTATTTTGTGGTTGTTTCTAAGTGCGGGTCGATGACCTACCGGTTAGAGAGCAAAGGTTCAAATGTCTTTGTTGGGGCAGCTAGAAGGACCAGAAATCACGTACTTACTCTAGTTCTTATGGCCACAGAAGCAACCAGAGATAAAAGAGGAAAGTCGTTTCTAGAGGGGCTACCACCTGGTGAGAGGGACCGGACCGTTCCCCGGCTCCCGGGGCTGGACGCTGGGGAGGGACCTCTGCACACCCCTACCCGGGCCCAGCCAGAGACCGTCTTCGGATGTGTCAGGAAGAAGAGCCACCATGCACGGGGACGGGCCAATAAACACAGCATCCGCCTGCCATCACCTGTGCTGGGGCTGAATGCGTCAGGGGCCCAAAAAAGATGGCCTGTCAGCGAACTGCTCCCAGGGAAACAATGTCATTTCAACCTAGGAAGTGTGGCTGAAAAAACAGGTTTCCCCAAAACCTCCATATCCTTGGGCTCCGTTTGGGTTGATTGTGAAAATCTGAGAACTCCCCAACGTTCCACTTCTACAATTATTGGGGGGGTGGGGTGCTAGGCTTTTCTCACATGAAGCGAAGCTACCCTGATCACCGTACTAGCGGCTTATCCGCTTCTGGTGTCATGCCATTCCCCAGAGTCTGTAACATCACGTCTTTAGAACATCGAAGCTTTGCGATCATTCCATGACACCGCATCATGGTAATTTTCAGTAAAGAGAAAGCTCCCTGCACTTAAACCCATCCTGACCCACTTTAAGGAGGCAGTTTCATCTTAAAGTAACTTGGCCGCTATGTTATGTTTTTGTTGAGGAGCTGACTGGGATTTAAGGCACCAACAGGTGCCACCGAAACCATCTGTCAAATGACTGAACTTCGTACCGACACCAGCTTTCAGGAGTGGGAGAAAGTCACACCTACCAGCCGAGTCTTGTGTAGGGAAAAGACAGGAAGTAAGATGCCAAGGGGCTGGACACATGCTTGTAGGACTGCTGGGAGCTGCCCGTGAACATTGTCCGAATGTTCCTTTCCAAAGCCTGGTACATAAAAGTAAGGGAATCCTGGAAACACAAAAACATTATAGATAAAAGACACGTGGCATCGTCAACAAAACTAATATTTCCCATCAAAAGTATTAGACTTTCTAAAGGAAACCCATTTGGACCAGAACTAAAAAATAAAGCCTCGGGACGCCTGGGTGGCTCAGTGGGTTAAGCCGCTGCCTTCGGCTCAGGTCATGATCCTGGGGTCCTGGGATCGAGTCCCGCATCGGGCTCCTTGCTCGGCAGGGAGCCTGCTTCCTCCTCTCTCTCTGCCTGCCTCTCTGCCTGCTTGTGTGTACTCTCTCTCTCTGACAAATAAATAAAATCTTTAAAAAAAAAAATAAAAAAAATAAAGCCTCGATTCCTATCACAAAGTAAGATCTCGGATGCCTGAGTGGCTCATTGGATTAAGCCTCTGCCTTTGGCTCAAGTCATCTCAGGGTCCTGGGATCGAGCCCCGCATCGGGCTCCTTGCTCGGCGGGGAGTCTGCTTCTCCTCTGCCTGCCTCTCCCGCTGCTTGTGCTTGCTTGCTCTCATGTGCTCTAACAAATAAATAAATTAAATATTTAAAAAAAAAAAGAGATCAATCCCTTGGGATGAGCAGTTAGGGAGGGAAATCATGACCCCCTGTGCTGGGAGGGTGGGTGGTTATGACCCTCACAGCCGTGCCAGCATGGTAACGGAGAACAAGCTGGGCCTTTACCTGGACCAAAGTCAAGAGAGTCTACAGGAACCCGCAGAACATAATCAGATCAATGTAATGAATCAAAATGGCTTAAACGTTAATTTAATCTAGAACTAGTGCGAAGGTCCTGAGTCAGTCTCATAGAACTAGTGCTGCCCCCACCCTCATACCCCCTGCGCCCAGCTCGCTCATCCAGGAAGCATTTATGCAGCTCCTACTATGTGCCAGGTGCTAGGACAGGCCTGGCCCTCCCCTGCAGGACTCCCCCTTTCACGGAGGACACAGATCCAAGGAACTACAGGACAACACAGTACGTGCCGTGGTAGGGCCCCAGGTCACGACGGGCTACAGAACGCGCAGAGCCCATGCAAAATGAAAACACGGAGCCCCAGGCTCGGAAGTTACTAAGAATTTTTTCTAAAGATTTCATTCATTTATTTGAGAGAGAGACAGTGTGAGCAGGGAGGGGTGGGAGGGAGGAAGGGTCGGAGGCAGACCCCACCCTGAGCGCAGAACCCCATGCGGGGCTCGATCCCACGATGCGAAGACAATGACCTGAGTCCAAACCCAGAGTCTGACGCTCAACTGACTGAGCCTCCCAGGCACTGCCAAGTTATTAAGGAATTTACGGCAGCAAGAGCAAGAGCATTAGCCCAAGTGTGGGGCCCTTCTCAGGGCGATGACTGCTGGCACACCCACACAGCAGCCTGCTCGGCCGGACCAACTCCCAGAGGCCCCAGGGAGACGGTGTCCTATGACCCTTCTCCAGACGTTAAGAGCCTTCACAGTCCTACGCCTGCTTCCCTTCCCAGACCTCTCCCACCTGCTGCCTCGGATCCCAGTCTTGTTTTCCAGGCAACCAAGTCTACTCGCATCTCCAAATATCCCCAAACTTCCCCAAGAGATAAACGCTCACTGATGAAATACTACCTACTGTTCAGGGCCTAATGCAAATGCCACCTCTGCCGTGAAGCCTTCTCTGATTGACCACAAAGCTGTTAAGCTTTATCTTACAGGCAAAGGACTCCCCACCCATGTGTTACTTGCATTCTATTCACATATGATCATTTGTGTATGTATCACCCCAATTAGACAGATTTGCTAAAGGTCAGAGTCCATTTCCCTTTCATCTGAAACCCCCAGTCGAGTGTCTGACTCTTAATCGGTGATCGCGCGGCCGGATTTCACCCGCAGCATCCCCGTGGGGGCTCTGCGCAGTCCGCCTACCATGCTGCTGACACAGCTGGCCTAAGGACAAAGCAGGACTGGCCCAGGTGCCCCGGGGCCACCTCGGGCTCCACCGGCCTCGCCCAAGGCCGCGTAGGTCCAGACCCACATCTCAGAACATCTCTGGAAAAAACCCAGGTTTGGCAGCCAAAGACGTTTGTGGCCTGACTCTGGCACAGGCGACTCCCAGTGAATGAGAAGAGCCAGTGAGTCTACAGGACGAGATCCCGGGGGCAGCATGTCCCTGTCCCCCCACTCCCTGGACACAGAAGATTCTTACCGAGGTCCACGAATCCACGCTAAAGAACACACCTCTTTTGGTGTGGTTGATGTTTTTCCTGACATCTTTACTTAGGGAAACAGTCAAATTCCTATGGAAATCATTTTTCTGTACTCGTGAACTGCTGAAAAGTGAGAACAAACAAAATGGGTCAGACTGAAGAACGGCGGGCCCCCCAGTAATGGCATTGAAGGTTACGTCAGGTCGATCACAGCTCAGAGACCGTAACATTCAAGTTTCTGGGAGCTCAAAGAGAAACACCTTCATGGGACATTGCATGGAGTTTTAGTCCAATGTTTCCAAGGTGTAAAAGCCTATCCTTACCAAAAATACTTCCCAGAGCCCCAAAGTCCTATTGCATTAAAAAGTGTGATTTCGGGGCACCTGGGTGGCTCAGTGGTTAAGCCTCTGCCTTCGGCTCAGGTCATGATCTCAGGGTCCTGGGATGGAGCCCCGCATCGGGCTCTCTGTTCAGCGGGGAGCCTGCTTCCCCCTCTCTCTCTGCCTGTCTCTCTGACTGCTTGTGATCTGCCAAATAAATAAATAAAATCTTCTTTTAAAGTGTGATTTCTTCTAGATTACTACACACAAAACAAAGAAAACAAAACAAAAACAAAGGCATTTCAGTATTTCACACACGTGGTCACAAAATAGCATGTAGCTCTTTGGGATACTGGTGTGCGGGTACGGACTTCCGACGTGCTAGAATGAATCCTACATTAAAAGTATATTTTCAAATTTGTGCATTCTAATGAGACTACAAACCAGGTGCCTGGAGGAGCCCGACAGGCTTCCCCAGTGACTGAAGCGAAGCCCCCACAGCGGGAGTGAGCGAAGGGGATGTGTGTCAAGCAGCCAGCGGAGGGACCCTGACAGTCAGGGGACTGAGAGCCCCATGTAAACACACTCAAGTCAGTCAGAGGAAGGAGGGAGGGAGGGAAGGAAGGAAGGAGGGAGGGAAAGAGGGAAGGAAGGAGGGAGGGAAGGAGGGAAAGAGGGAAGGGAAAAGAAAGGAAGAAAGGAAGAAAGGGATGGGGCTCCTGGGTGGCTCAGTGGGTTAAGCCTCTGCCTTCGGCTCAGGTCATGATCTCAGGATTCTGGGATCGAGCCCCGCATTGGGCTCTCTGCTCAGCAGGGAGCCTGCTTCCTCCTCTCTCTCTCTCTCTGCCTGCCTCTCTGCCTACTGTGATCTCTGTTAAATAAATAAATAAAGTCTTAAAAAAAATTAAAAAAAAAAAAAAAGAAAGGAAGATAGGGAAAGGAAGGGGCTTAAGGGAACCTGCCTGTCTTCTGTTCTCCTGAAGCTCGATGCTCTGACCTTAGGACCCTTCACCACTAGGACTGCAAGAGCGTCTAACCCTCGCTCACCCTGAAGTATCTCGGCCAAAACACTGCTCGTTCACCGAGAGCTCCCCTTAGGACGCGCCACTGCACGTCCCTTTCCCTCCTAACACCTGAGAGCATCAGGAGCTCTGCTCGGCGCCCACGCACCCACCGGGACGCAGCCCCAGCACGGCAGGAACACGCTCTGTCCTGCTCTCGACGAGCCCTCGGTGCCCACATCGGCTCCTGGCAGAGACGGCGCAGGAAACGCTGCTGTATCGGTATTTATTGTCTGAATCCAGCTTTTAGGCGCCTGCAGCTGGCACACGACCCCCGCAGGAATCCCACCTCTCAGGATACAAGTCAGGCTTCTGGCCCTGTGCCTCAGCAACGGCCTGAAAACCCCCTCCTCATCCCATCGCATCGACCGGGACTCTCTCAGGGTGGAATCTGGGTAAAAGTTACGCATCATAACAATAATGAGTAATAATACTATAATAATAATAATAATAATAGTAATAATAATAATGTAATAATACTATTAATACTATTAAATGCCATTTTTGTTGGTAAGCGAGCACCTTACCGCTGCGCTCTTTACCTCCATTCCTGCACACCAGCAAGGTCGTGATTCTGGGAATCTGCACATGTTCTTTCTTTTTCTTTTTTTAAAGATTTTATTTATTCCCTGAGCAGGGAGCCCGACGCAGGGCTGGATCCCAGGACCCTGAGATCATAACCTGAGCAGAGGGCAGATGCTTAACCGACTGATTCCCCAGGTGCCCCGAGATGTCCTTTCTCTAGGAAGGTTCTGGAATCCACTTACCCCTGGCTGCTGGCTGGTTGGCCGCCGCACGGCCCACCTGCCCGGACGCATGTGATGAACAGAGGGTTCTCGGGCAGGCTGCAGTGGCTGGGGAGAGAGGCAAAGGAATCAGGCATTTTCTTACCTCCCTGGCAAGCATCAGTCTTACTGAGAATCACGGCGCACGTCACACTGTCTCTGGCTGTGAAGGGTCCGGGGCTCACTGCAGAGCCAGACGCGGCAGGTGAGGAGCTCGGGTCCTAACTGATGATGGCCCATGACTGCAGGTAGCAGGATGGTACACAGGCGGCCCCACGCTTGGGTCAGCCGGACTCACAGCTGCCCCCCGCCCCTGCCCAGCAGCCCCAGGCTGACGTGAACCGCCCGGAAGTTCAAGACGGACAGAAACGGATTCCTAACTGCGCCCCTCTCTGCCCGATCATGCCCATTTCTGCTCAAATAGGTCTTAGTCTCTCAAACTCATTCCTTTAAAAACAAAGATTTGTGAATGGACAAGGCCACCGAGAGTACATAAGGTGAACTTTCCTCGCCTCTGGAAAAAGCACTAAGGGAGGGCGGACTCCACTAGAAGAGTGGACAGTGATCGCGGAGGGAGGCTGGGCAGCGTGGAGCCCACCCCATGGGGGCAAGGAGTTCAGAAAATGAGGTCAGGAGAGGCTGAAGGCAAACTTCTGTCAAAATCTTTCTTGGGGCCAGCTTCAAGCTTAGGAAAAGTTTCTTCCTCAAATTCCCACCAGGATTAGGATGGGAATTCCTCAGACTCCACCACCAGGATCCAGACGGCAGCCTTGCAATAAATAAGAGCACTACAGTTACGGGTAATCTTTGTTGTTGTTCTTGTTAAGATTTTACTTATTTATCTGATAGGGAGAGAGAGCAGGAGAGCACAAGCAGGGGGAGCTGCAGGTAGAGGGGGAAGCAGGCTCCCCACTGAGCAGGGAGCCCAACATGGGGCTCGATCCCAGGACCCTGAGATCATGGCCTGAGCCGAAGGCAGAGGCTTCACTGACTGAGCCACCCAGGCGCCCCTGTGAATTATCTCTGAGTTATGTAGAGCTCCGGCTGGGAATGTGACCACTATTCTTTCACTGTTTCTTTAGGAAGACACAATAGGAGTTTCAAGCAACACATTGCTTTGGAAGATAATTATCAGGTAACAAATGCTTATAACATGAAACTATGTACACTATTTCTTTCCCTCATGAATCTGTGTCCTCTTTCTTTGGAGCTTTCTCCAAAGTTCCCATTCAGTTCCACAAATGCTGACGAATCTTCCTCTGTGTAAAGATGCAGCCAATTCATGGAATTTTCCGCCTTGACAAGTTAGAACAGACATCGAGAGACAAAAACAGTTCCCCAATTAAAGAGTAACGTCTAGCTGCCTGTAGCTATTTGGACGGCCTAACCGAAACGAACACTAGTGCTGTTCTCCACTCGAGGATCGTGACCTACGGGCTGGAGACAGCGAGTACGAGCCCCTCACGCTCACGTGACCAATGCAGATTTCACTTCCTTCCGTAATAACAACACCCGCATCAACACACTTCAAGTGCCACCTACACGCTGACCCGTTTACCTGAGTGACCTCGCGTGCTCCTCCCGACAACCCCGTGACAGACGACTGTTACTGTCCCCATTTCACAGAGGAGAACTCAAAGCTTAGGGAGGTTCAGCTACTTGCTCAGAATAACTCAGCAGTGAGAGGCAGGTCCTGCAAATTCTGAGACTCCTCCCGTAGTGTCGTGTGCGCTTAAAATCCTGGCCACAGGGGCGCCTGGGTGGCTCAGTGGGTTAAGCCGCTGCCTTCGGCTCAGGTCAATGATCCCAGGTCCTGGGTTCAAGCCCCACATCGGGCTTTCTGCTCAGCAGGGTGCCTGCTTCCTCCTCTCTCTCTGCCTGCCTCTCTGCCTACTTGTGATTTCTCTCTGTCAAATAAATAAATAAAATCTTAAAAAAAAAAAAAAAAAATCCTGGCCACAGGAGGAGAGCCTGGGGATGTCACAGGAGGCTTATTTCACTGCTAAAAAAATAGTATTTATATGGGACTCTTTCCTGTTTACCAACGGTTTAAAACAGGTTTAACACTCACGGCCTAATACCGACTTGATCATGCAAGGCGATTTTGTTTCAGATCCCGGCATGCAGTTATGGTTAACAGCCTCTGTGTACTGGCGGATGTTTTCAAGGCTGAAGAACATCATCCCACACACAATATCCTGAAGCCACTCGGATCTACGTCCCTCCGATTTAGAGCCCCAGCCCTGTGCCCCTCGACCTGGAAGAGCCGCCTGGTGCAGACGCAGCCCGACAACCTCTCCCACTCCACGGCTGCTGCTCGGGCTTCACACCCTGCCCTTTCCTGCACAGGGTGCTGCCTCCACGGCTCCCTCTCCAGACCCGCCTCCCAAGCCCACTCAGTGCCGGGGCAGGTTGCATACTTAGGAGAGGCTGGGACGTCGTGAGACCTTTTCATCTGATCAGGTGGAAACCTGAGAGCAGCACCAGGAGAGGGAGGGACGGGGCAGGAGTGGCCGGCGGGAGAAGTGGGCCAGTGTCTCACCTGGTCCCGTTCTCCAGCATGAAGCTCGTCAGACGGTAGATATTAGTGGACCAAAACGCCATGTCATCCAGTCCCCCCAGGAAATACTCTTGGAATTGTTCCACCAAAAATGGAGACTTTCTGGAGTACGTCGGATAAAGCTATGGCACACAAAAAAAGAAAACTTATCAGTAAGTGTTTTTTCTGGTATCTTTATAATCCTTTAAATGAAGGTTCTGAAGAATGAAGCCTTTCTTTACCTTGGAAATAGCTAATATCTCTCCGTACCTGCAACATGAACAAAAATTGTGCCTGTTGAGTGAGGTTTGGACAAAGAAGGGAAGCAAGTCAACAACAGGCCCCATCCACAGGTGTCTGCTCTCACGCGACTGCCTTCGGAGAAAGCAGAAATCCAGAAATCCAACTCGGGAAACTAAAACGTCGAAACGCGCACTAAGGAAGTCACACTAAGCTCAGCTACAAATTTTCCTCTGGGTCACACCTACATTTCCAAGAACTGAAGGTATGAACAGTCAATAATTGCACTTCTGGTGATGACTTCTCGGCCATAGAGTTGCTTGTAAATTTCCAGCAGATCTTCAACAGGCACGTACCTGAGAAAAGCATTGGAATAAAATAAGATTCTGAAATTAAAGGGAATATCGGCGGCAAAAGCATTGACCATTTACTGCATGATTGTTCCATGCCAGGCACTATGCAAGGGGCCCTCCATGGACTCTGTATTTAATGCTACCCACAAGCCACAAGAATGCGGCTGGTACTGCCACATTCCCAGCAGACATCAGTGTGAACTACAGCGCAGGACGCGAACCAACAACGGACACCCCAATCCGACAGTCGAAGGTGCACTCAAAGATCGGAAACTAGCTCTGAAATAGAAAATGAATGTTTCGTCTTGTGAATTCACAGTTCAAGGAACAATATATTTTATTCCTTGGAGGACTGAACTATTCTCAAAAGTTATTATTAATTTTTGAGAGAGAGAGCAGGGAGGGGAGGGGCAGAGGGAGAAAGGGAGAGAGAACCTCAAGCAGGCTATGTGCCCAATGCGGAAGCCAACACGGGGCTCGATCTCACGACCCTGAGATCAGGACCTGAGCTGAAATCAAGAGTCAGATGCTTCACTGACTGAGCCACCCAAGTACCCCAAAGTTATTATTTTAAAACACCAAAAATGGCTCCTCACCCCCATCCCAGTTTCCGAGCACACAGCATATGGTAAAAAGCACCTAAGTCAGGCCTCTAGCTGACAACTGCTGTTACTTCAGCTGGAAGAAGAGACCCTACGTGAGACTAATGCTGAACCAGCTTCCGGCTTCATTTCTGAAGCCTTAGACTGTATCACACAGAAATCACAACCAAACAAAACCTGATTTTAGTGTATTTATAAGAAAGAATCTATGGTGATGCCCACTTTTTAATTTATAAGTGCCCCAGAGCGTCCTCTCAGCAAAAACAGCTTCAGGCCAGACAAAATAACAAAATATTTTTTTAGATGAATCACCCCACTAGCAAGAAAGTGCAAATTTTCCAAAGGCCCAAAACAAATTGAATCTGGAAGCTTGAAGAGGTAATAAGCAAGTGTGGAAGCCAGCTGTGCCCCGAGCCCTTGGAGATTTTCCGATGGCTGCGCACACACCAGAGACGCGGGCTGAAGCGTAGGAACCAGCCACAGCAGCCCGTTTCAGAAGAGCCACTTGCACTAAAAGCTACAGCCTCTGCATGAGTATCCGCAAGAAACAAACCCAGCCTACTAAAAAGGACAGCAAAGAAACCGGGCTTCATCCTGAAAATCAATCGAGTAGGGGAAAAACAGATCTCCCCTGACCACTGGTAACTACTACCAGTCCTGCAAATGTCCTTTCCTGCATTCATGCTGTTTCTGTAATCAGGAAAACTTCAAGAGCTGAATGTAATGCAACGTGGTCCTAGGTTCATGTGCCTCGACGCAGCCTACAGAAGTCCAGAGAAATCCTCGCTGAAGAGATGCGAGTCTATGTCCAGCCATGAGCACTTCGAGCAGCATGGGACATGACCAGGAGATGAGCTAAACTCCCATAAGAGCTGCTGAAGGACACCTGAAGGCAATTCATTCATCAGAGATGAGGAGGGTCACTATGCCAAGAGGAAAAGGGCCAACTCACCAGAAAGATGTAAGATTTTTACACTTGAATGTATCTAACAACATATCTTCAAAACATAGACATAGCAAGTTGAAAGAACCTCAAGGAGAAATGGAAAAAAAAATTCACCATCGATGGGGGAAATTTTTTAACAAATTTTTCTCTAATTATTACATCAACCTAATACAAAAGGGCCATTTTATTTATAATTTTAACAGTAAATTAATAAGCTTACATTAATAAGGATATATATAACATTAGGTCAAAAACTGGAGAACATTCTCTTCAAGCAGAGATGGGATATTTACAAGAGTTGATTATATGCTAGACCTTAGATCAGGACTCAACGGGAGACCGCTGGCAAAGACGGCAGAGTAGGAGGAACCGAGATGGAGCTCGGCTCACAGATAAAACTCGACAACACATCAGTGCAAACAACCCAGAAAACTCAAAAGCCAACAGAAGAATGGCACCTGGCTAGCTCAGTCAGAAGAGCGAGGGCCTCTTGATCTCAGGCTTGTGGGTTCAAGCCCTACATTGAGGATAAACATTACTAAAATAAATAATTAAAACACATACACATGCATACACACACACGCGTGCACGCACACACACGCACGCACACACACACGCGCGCGTGCGCGGCAGAGGAAACTCCACAAGTAAATGTAGAGAAGAGGCCAGATCAAGGCGAGTGGAAAAGTCTGAGACACGGTCGGGTGCTAAACCCCACAGGTCTGGCGACCACAGAGAGGGAGCCATAGCTTTGGGGTGGGTGGGAGAAGCAGATTATCACACTGCGGATCCTGAAAGTGGGAGCTACATCCCCACAGCATTTAGCTTTGAAAAGAAGAGGGGCCAAATGTTCTGAGTTCTAGCCAGTGGGACTTAAAGCCTGGAAAAAAAAAAAAAATCAGTGGGCTTAGCTCAGGGAGAGTCCAGGTAGTGACAAGAAGCTGAGTCTCTGCCCTTAAAGAGACAGCATGACAGGACACCTGGGTGGCTCAGTCGGTTAAGCATCTACCTTCAGCTCAGGTCATGATCCCAAGATCCTGGGATGGAGCTCCCACATCATCGCGCTCCCAGCTCAGGGGGGAGCCTGCTTCTCTCTCTGCTTGCCACTTCCCTGCTTGTGTGCGTGTGCGAGAGAGGGATTCACAAAACAAAAGGATGTAAATTATGACACCGTATCTCTAAAATGACAAGGAGTAAAGAATGGGTTTAAATTAAACAACCATCAGCTTAATACAGACTGAGGTAAGCAAAAGATGTTATATATAGCCATAAATCAAAAACCACTAATAGATATGCAAAAAATAAAGAGAAAGGAATCCAAGTCTATCACTACAGAAAGCCAACTAATCATGAAAGAGAGTAAGAGAAGGATCAGAAAGAAACTAAAGAAAGCACAAGATAAGTAACAGGATGGCACTAAATATACTCCTGTCAATAATTACCTTGAATGTAAATGGACGAAATGCTCCAATCAAAAGACATAGGGTGACAAGATAGATTAAAAACAAAACAAAACAAAACAAGATTCACCTGTAGGCTGCTTACAAGAGACTCAACATAAAATGAAAGACACCCGCAGACTGAGAGTGAGGGGATAGAGACACATTTATCATGGAAACGTATGTCAAAACAAAGCTAGGGTAGCAATACTTATATTGGACAAATAGACTTTAAGACAAACACTAAAAAATAAAAAATAAAACACTATAACAAGAGACAAGTAAGGGCACTATGTAATCAAAAAGGTCCCCATCCAACAAGAAGGTATAACTGTAAATATTTATGTTCCCACTACAGGAGCAACCGAGCATGTAAGTAGTTAGTAACAAGCAGAAAGGAAGTGGCTGATACTAACACAATAACAGCAGGGGACTTGAACACCCACTCACATCAACGGACAGATCACCCGAACAGAACATCAACAAGGGCTTTGACGGACACCTTGGATCAGATGGATCTAACCGATGTAATCAGAACATTCTATCCTGAAACGGCAGAATGCACATTCTTTTCCAGTGCACATGGAACACTCCAGAACAGATCACTACTTCCCTACCAAACAACAAGCCTCGACAAATTCAAAAAGACCAAAGTCATACCATGCATCTTCTCTGACCACAAGTGCTAGGAAACTAGAAATTACAAAAAACTGGAAAGAACTCGAATACACAAAGTTAGTTAAACAAGCTATTGAAGAATGAGTGGGTCAACTGGGAAATCAGAAATTACAGTTTACACTGAAACAAATGAAAATGCAAACAGTCTAACCATCCAAAACCTTTGGGATTCAACAATAGGGGTTCTAAAAGAGGAGAGTTTACAGCAATACAGGCCCTACCTCAAGGACCAAGAAAAATCTCAAGTAAACAACCCAACCTTATGCCTAAAGGAGCCAGAAAAAGAACAAACCAAACCCAAACCAGTAGAAGGAAGGAAATGATAAAGAGTAGAGCAGACATAAAGGATGTAGAAACTAAACACCAAGAGAACAGATCAATGAATCCATGAGCTGGTTTTTTGAGACAATTAAAATTGATAAACATTTAGCCAGACTCATCAGAAGAAAGAGAGAGAGAGAGAGAGAGAGATTTTAAATAAACAAAACCCCCCCAAAAGAAGAGAAATAAATGATACCACAAAAAAGACAAAAAACTGTAACAGAATATTATGAAAAGCTATATGCCAACAAGTTGGACTACCTAGAAGAAATGGAAAAATTCCTAAGAACATACAAACTACCAAAACTGAAAGAAGAAGAAGTAGAAAATTTGAACAGACTGATTACCAGCAATGAAATTGAATCAGTAATAAAAAAAAAACTTGGGGCGCCTGGGTGGCTCAGTGGGTTAAAGCCTCTGCCTTCGGCTCGGGTCATGATCCCAGAGACCTGGGATCGAGCCCCGCATCCGGCTCTCTGCTCAGCAGGGAGCCTGCTTTCTCCTCTCTCTCCCTCTGCCTGCCTCTCTGCCTACTTGTAATCTCTGTCTGTCAAATAAAAAAAAAAAAAAAAAAAAAAAAAAAAAAAAAAACTTCCAACAAACAAAATTCCAGGACCAGATTGCTACACAGGCAAATTCTACCAAATATTTAAGGAGTTAACACCTATTCTCAAACTATTCCAAAAAAAACATAAGAGGAAGGAAAACTTCCAAATTCATTCTATGAGGCCAGCGTTACCCTGATATCAAAACCAGATAAAGACACCACAAAAAAAGAGAACTATAAGCCAGTATGTGTCATGAACACGGATGCAAAATTCCTCGAAAAGATACCAGCAAACCAAATCCAATAATACATTTTTTAAAAATTCACCATATTGCTGGATTGAAAGGGTAGTTCAATATTCACAAATCAATCAACACAAATTACACCATTAAGAAGATCATTTGAGAGGCGCCTGGGTGGCTCAGTGGGTTAAAGCCTCTGCCTTCGGCTCAGGTCATGATCCCAGGGTC